AAATTCAAAGTGTAACAAACTTTGTCGTGTATATTTATTAAAACAATTAAGCTTGTTATTGGTATTCTCTAGCTTACATATATGTGGATGTAATATTTAGAATTAAGTATTTTTAAAATATTAGAGTAAGATTTATTTATTATTTATAAAACACACCACAGATACATATTAATGAGGAAAAATCTTACGTACTAACTAATAAATAAAGGCGGCCTTATCGCTAAGTAGCGATCTCTTTCAGGCAACCTGAACTACACGAGAAAAGAAATACAAAAAAATGTATTATCGGGTAAGTAAGAATAAAGGATAAGTAATTTTAGGGTTGACAATTTGATACAGGTTCTCATTTTCCTCTATGGGTCATGTGGCGAACACTTTTCTATATCCGTTCCAAGGTCCAAGTACAGACAAAACCTTTATTTGACTTCTGTGCTGTATCCAACCAAGAAAATCATTGATTCCCCAAGATTCGGACCCAGGGGCTCCTAATACGTGATAGATAGCTTAGTTACAAAGGCGAATGAACTTTGACAAGATTTAATAGGCTCTCTTTTGTTTGTTACAAACACTTAATTTCACTATTTACAACTTAAGAAATGTATTTATTTATATTAAAACTGCAGAGTGCAAGGACATTACGAGCTTTTTCATTACATAAAAATGTATGTTACTTTCTTGGTATTTAAGTTTTAATTAAAACCTATTCGCACATAATGTGAGATGTCAAGGTGAAATTCTTATTTGGACCAGTTGCAAGAAAAAGGATTAAAACCGAACCCTCAGTGAATGAATCACAAACTTCGTTGCATTGAGGTAAACAAGTAATTGACCAAAATGACACTTTTATGCATTTAACAATCCTTAATTAGCACTATAAAGACCTTTTGCTTGGTCATTAGAACTCAATTTACGAAAATCTCTTTTTTAATTTAAAAATAATAACCTGGAAAATAGAATAGTTTATTTTTCTTTTTACAATACGAATTTAAACGACAGTTGTGTGAAACAAAAAAGAATCACACCATTTTACATGTTTAATAAAACACTTTGAGGTGTTTAAAACGTAAGTTATTATTAATTGATATATGTTAACTACAATCGGACATTTCGGATACTTTGCAGCAGTTGTGGTCATGGGGGATTAGATAAATAAAATTTAAGTTTAATAAATCTTTCGCGTTTTTAACCGTTATAAGGGTTCCGAATGTATTAGTACTTTCTCACGTAAACTACAGAGAATACTTGATTATTAGGTACCATATGCTAAAATTCTGACCCAGAACTCTTTTGTCAAACTTGTGAGGCCGTAAAATAGTTGTAATTATTTCAGAAGTACACTATAAAATCCAATGAACTCACCACACGTGCTTAATACTTAACCGGTAGATAATAACTATAAAATATTTAATCAATAATAATTTATAAAATTACATAAAAACAACACATCGAAACTCATACGCAAATCGTTAATTACAAAACTGATAAAGAGATAACATTAATTTCATAAGTTGTGATAAAACACTATTTTTTGACATCCGTAATCGTAAACACTTTTGTGATCGATCGTTGATGAGAATCAAATCTTTTAGTACTATGGACTTCGTAAACGGCATTATGATCTAAGCCTTATCAGAAAATGTGGAGTTCCATTGGAGACGTTTCACAAGAGGCGTTAAGCTTATGTTGCTAAATAAACCACGGCAAATGTCGTAAATGTAATTATTAGCAACCTTTTTTATAAATCGCAGATCATTTATTCCTCACTTTGTTTGTTTTTTTATGTATAACCTAGAGTGTCAGTAAGTTATAGAATTTAAATAAAACACTTTAACGCTTTAAAACGCGAAACCTTGGCCGCAAAGCATCCGAACGTCACCGTGGTTAAAATAATTTGTAAATACATTGAGCATTTTAAACCGTTGAAGGGGTTTTATTTAAATAAGGACTATTTGTCTAAACCATAGTTAGTAAAGTTATAGAATGTCAAATAGATTTTGGTTATAGTTATGTTAGCTTCACCATAGATAGTATGTATACCTTGTAAGTTGGTACTTAGTTTTAGTAGTATAGCATGTATAGCATAGCGTATAGTAATATAGCAGCCTGCAGCATAAGATGAGCTATTTATTTATTTAATCAATATTTTATTAGTATTGTATGTTGTATTACCAGCTCCGCCTATATAAAAATAATACATCAAGACAATAAAATAATAATAACTTGCCTTTTATTTATTTCGAGCACCGTTACACATTATATATTTTGGTCTTTGGGTTGACCTTAATTTAGTGCAATAATGGTTCTGTGTTATTTTATTACTTAATACCAATTTTTCTAGTAAACAATAACAACTGCGTTTTGTGTATATTTTCCAATCCTATATTTAATATAATAATTCTATATTTATAAACTATAATGCAATAATAAAACATTATATTAGAAACTATAAGTATATAATAATAAATAATAGTATATCATAAATAATAAAAATAAGTATATGCCTTATAAAACTTAGCATGCATATAGTTTTTCTTATTTATTTAAATTACAAATTCAGCGTTTATTTGTAAATTCACCTTAATTGCGTAATGAATATTTGTTACCCACTTCCAAGTTTTTATGTTACGTAAATCAATTAAATCATTTTCACGCCAGATGAATTTCATAAGAGATAATTTTATATCCAAACATATTTTTTTTTTACGTTTAACAACATTAAAAAACGAACACACTTGAAACCTTCTTGAAGAAAATAGAAAATAAAAAAACTTACAACAAAACTTGTTATTGGCGATCGTACAAAATCCGTAGAAACACCTCGCGAAATACCGGCCGTATACACCGTGTGCTGGATACGCCGTGAATGTCGATGGTAGGAAGACGAAAACGGAAAGCAGCCGCGGTGGGGTGTTCGATTGAAATCAAAAGACAGTTACAAAGTTCGTGGGAGATAGAAATGTTCATCTTATCATTCATGTGTGAACGAAAAACAATCAGGCTTCGACACCGCATTCGAAAGTTAATGGGTATTGTGCTAAGTATCGCGTATACGGGAAGTAATCCCGCGGTTTATTAACCTTTCTTCTTTGTTTTTAACTTTTATCTATGGTATTGATCGAATTTTCTATGGTTTTTACACATATCGTTGCAAGTCCAAATAATTATTTTTCCTAGTTCTTGAACCAAATTCCAAATGTCGGTTTTTGATATAATGTTAAATTATTTTGTCTTAAATAATATAAATAATAATCATAAATGAATAGATATAAATTATTTTTAGATTTTTTTTTTAGTTTATTTACCGATAGAAAGCCATATGAATCAAAGTATTTATTTATGATACAGGAAGATAAACATGCACGGTTTACTTGATTTTAGGTGAATTAGCCCAGCCATATAACATCTAAATAAATAATCCGTTTATTATCACAAAGTATATACTTTTACTCAATTTACAAATAAAATCAGTAATAAAAAAGAAACCTTACAATTAAAAGCTAAACTCAGCATGTGCTCAGCAAGGCTTGCTAAGCGCTGATTTTCAGTCTGTCCCTATCAGATAGTAGTACCAAAACATGTAAATATTGTGGAAAAGTTGTAACTTACAAAAATATAATAATGACATATTTCAGTGGCAGCGCGAATGTAAAACTATTGCGTAAGTAAAAGAAACTAAAGAGAATAAAAGATATTTTCAATGGTTTGTTGTTAAGGTCATAAGTACTTAGTCGAGCTAATTTGAGCCCCTAAAATTTTATGACTATATAATAACTCTAGCTGGCTACTTAGTTTGTTTGGATAAACAAAAGGTATATTTCGTAATGACTACTGTCATCAGTTATTTCAATTGATTTTTAATTATAGATATGTCATTAACCGATACGGAAATGGCAGCGGGATTTTGGTGGCACTTTTAATATTTACAACACGTTCGAAGCAACCATACTCACATACATGTATGTATGTTATTGCACCCGCCATTTTATAACAGTGCCTGGTATGAGTTTAATTTCTTCAGTTTCATCGTTATACGTGAGACATCTTAATGGCTTTTCCAATGGACATAAACGTATATTAAAACACCATTACTTACTAATGCATCTATAAAAAGCAAACAATGAGAATATGTTATTTAAATAATTGTACAGTGCTGTCAGTGAGTAGTAGCAAATAGTAACTGTACTTTTAATAATCCAATAATAAATTATCAGTACAAGCTGTGCTGCTAATTTATTATTGGATAATTTAAAAAAATATCTTGCTTTGTGCTATGTGTAGATAATAATATTACTGCCTTATTAATACAATATCTATCGTTCAATAAGTGGATATTAAGGATCTGTATAGTATTTTTATTAATTTTCCTTCGGCTATTATTGTGCATATCTATTGTATTTTAAGGTATGGACGTCTTAAGTTTTTGTCTTTGGCCTCTCGGTTATGGTTACGCCTGAAGTACATAAAGCATTATATTTAAAATAAAATTTACATTCTGTGAAAACAATTATTTAAAGTAACTGCCGATGCAATACTATTTAAATTTAAAAAAATACGCGGTAAAGTTGCCACACGCATGCGCCAAACTAAATCACTGTCATAATTCAGGCATGCTAATGTCATTCATTAAAAAATAATATTTACATTTATTCTTGTCATCATAGTAATAAAAAGAAGAAGACATATTTTATTCTTTGATGATTGACCTCGTTGGCTCAGATATTATATTAACTTTTAATTCGGGCAAATAGTTATCACAAATGAAAAAAAAAACTTTTAATTGATGTAAATTGTCAATTGACAAGAGTTTTGGCAGCCGCGCCAGCAAATATTGGCAATTCATTTCATACATTTATTAATTATAGTTTAACTATCAATAGACACTGCACTACTTAACAAAACTAGGAATTCTCGTCTTATTAATGATTATTTACACATGTGAATAAAACATATTTTTTTATCGATCCTGCTTCATCTCTTAAAACAATATCCTTCTAATAACAATGTCTCAATTCAAACTCGTGTCCTCTACAAAAGCTTCCGATGTGATACCGGTAAATAAATATGTGTCCAATAAAACTGGACTAACTGTAATAATAGCTAATGTGGAGGGGCCTACGGTTAATGGATTCTTCTGCCTTGGTATGTTTATTTTTTACAATTAACTGTTATGATCTTCATATTACTTACGTACTTTTGTATGTTACAGCTACTGAAGCGCACGACGACGATGGACTGCCTCACACTTTGGAACATCTCATCTTCTTGGGTTCCGAGCGTTATCCATACAAGGGCATCCTCGATTTATTGGCCAATAGATGTATGGCACACGGGACAAATGCCTGGACAGATACTGATCATACATGCTACACTATTGATACAGCTGGCGATGCTGGAATGTTAACACTGCTTCCAATATACCTTGATCATATTTTGAGACCCACTTTAACTGATCAGGGCTTCACTACAGAGGTGCATCATATAGATGGAGATGGTGAAGACGCTGGAGTTGTATATTGTGAGATGCAGGGTAGAGAAAACTCGGCAGATAGCAGGTACAGTATGTTAAATATTCAAAGTGCAAGTATCAAAGATCGTAATTGTTTTGTGGTAATAATTAGTTGGTTGTTTTAAAGAAGACAATTTGTCATATCTTATGGGATACAGTGATAAATATAGACAGATAAAGTGAACACCCACCTATTTTTAATTTTTAGATGTGAGTTAAGATTGCAGCGTGCAATGTATCCAGATAGTGGTTATTCCTCGGAAACTGGAGGTATAATGAAGAATTTGAGAGAATCTACAAATAACACAAAGGTAATTGAAATTTTAATATGTAGTTTTTTACACACTGAAGACTTATAAGTTAGAAATAGAAAGTTAATTGTGGGTCTGATCCCATCTGTATAATGTTTTTAATAATTTATATCTCATCATTAATTTATATCCAAATAATTGTTTCAAATTTCTACATGTATATTTTAAAAGGTCATGAAGAATAAAATATAGTAAAATTAAACACATAATATGTAATTTTTTATTAGGTCAGAGACTTCCACAAGAAATTCTACAGGCCTGAAAACTTGACAATAATCCTAACGGGTCAAATAGAAGCGGAAGATGTATTCAAGGCGTTGTCTATTGTCGAGGATGACATCATTGCACAGGTGACTAGACCAATTATAGCTAATACCTATTGCAATTCAAGTTTTATAAGTCTACATAGTATGTACTATGATTTTTGTTTTAACAATGTTTAATATATGTACAAACAAACATATGTGTGAATTATATAAATTATTATGTACAAAGATTACATCTAAAATTAAAATTAGTTTCTTGTATTTATACTACCTATATTTCTTGAACAATGTTACTGGAATTTACTAACACGACATATTAAATATTTATTTTTAGAGAGAAAAGGCAGCTAATGAAGAGTGGATAAAACCATGGCAAACCATTCCCCCACCTCCACGATATGGAGTATTGAAGGAGCAATGGCCTGCTGATACTGAGGACTGTGGTCAGGTAACAGGAGAACCTAATCTAGGTGTTTTAGATTTTTCAATATATGTATTTTTGAAAATGTTTTATTGCTGTTAAGGAGAGGTCTCTGCTAAATTGAAGAAACTATGATTTTTTAAAAATTTTCCACCAACAAAACATTTATTTTATTATTATTTTTTTTTTTTTATATTTCAGGTTTTATTCGGTTGGCGCGGCCCGTTGCTGACAGAATCATCTGCTATAAAGGATCTCACAGGATGTGCGGTTCTGTTGCGCTATCTGTGCGATACCGCAGCTGCTCCACTACAGCGATGCCTTGTTGAGCGTGAGGACGCACTAGCTGGAGATGTATGACATATTTAATTTTTACTAGATAAGTGGTTACAGATAAATTTTATTACATTATATTGCTACTGAAATACTAAAAATTATAGTATAAGTACAAACTTTTTGGACTTAGCAGCATCAAAAAACAAGCAGGGCACTGATATTTAATCAATACTCCACTTAATAATTTTTTTTAATAGTACAAAGTAGGAAGAAAGAAAATTCATTTAGAACCAAACACTTCTTTAAATATAACATCAACTTACAGGTCTCATATAACCTCACAGAGAACATAGCCTCGTTAATCAAGATAGAATTAGACAATGTGCCGATGGATAAATTGGAAGTCGCGCGAACGCAAGCTCAGGCGTGCATAAGTAGTCTAACAGAAGGCGGTGAAGTGATAGACATGGAGAGAATGAAAAGGTTACTGAGGAAGCAGCTGAGGGAAAGTATCGCCAGTTTGGAGTCGGATCCACATCACGCAGTTGCTTTTAGGTGCATTGGAGATGCTCTGTATTCGCAAAGTGATGAAGATGTAAGTTAAATTTAATTAGGACTAGAGCTCCCTGCATAATCTACTTTATATTAGATAATACAAACAATTTAGTTTTTACCAGAAGTGCCTTTTTTGTCCAGTTCCAGCAATGTATGCTAACAACCAACAGATCATGGGTTTGACTGCCATCATGTTTTATCATTACATAAAAATATGTTATGTCAACTTCTGTAAAATCAGAATAAGGAATATTAGAATAATTTGAAATCAACTAGAAATTCTACTTGGGTCATAAGCCTCATGAAAAAAAAGAGTACTGTAGTATTACAGTATAACATTATATAATAATAATAGTAATAATTTAGGTGCTTAGAATATAAGAATGTTCCAATAAAATACATTGTAACACCTAAGCTGTGTAACACAGATACTAAGTTATTTTACTATTTATCGGTAATATGTAATTTTAACGACTGCCTTTTATAACTCTGAAAGGTTGATTGTCATCTAGTAAATTTTCCTTATCTTAGATCATCAACGTCAAATTTATAGTTAAATATGATTCAAGTTGTACCTTCGCGATTCCCATAAACTAATTTACGATTAATAAAATAAATTACCTGGATTAATCAGTAATCTGTTTATAGTTCCGACTAAGAATGAACCCGCAAGTGACTATACATGAACTGCTGGGAGAGACATCCGAGTATTGGTTGGGTTTGCTAAAGACATACTTCACTAATGACGTCATCATCGTTATTGGGTCACCCAGTATCGAGCTGCAAGCAAAGTTTGTATAATTTAAATTTAATTTTCAACACTTGCTGAATTCTTTTCTCTTAAAAATAGAAAATCATATTAAATCAAAAAAAAACCTAAGAGTTTAATTTAAGCTTTTTTTAATATGTTATTACAACAACATTCTAATTAAAATTCCTCTATTTCAAAGAATGGCTGAAGAAGAAAAGAAGCGCCTAGAAGAACAGAGAATTAAGCTAGGGGAGAGTGGGTTAGCGCAGAAAGCTAAAGAATTAGAACAGGCTATGGAATTTAATGAGGTATATATTGAAATAACGGTATTTTGTCTGAGATTTAAAAAAATTAAAGGAAACTTCTTTCCCATCTTAGGACATATCTTCCAGCAGATTGTATTTAAGTTTATTATTTATTTCGCACCAAACTATTAAAGGGAGATGGATTTGCCTTTTTGTTTGTATTGATTCTAATAGTATAATCCATTGCATTGTTTCTAGCGCCCTCCACCCCCTGGCACCTTGGCATCTGTTCCTGTGCCATCATGTGACAATCTGAAGTGCCATAACTTGTCTACTTGGGCAACGGATACTGAACCCTGCCCATACTTTGAACTCAAAGATGTTCCTCTATACACAAGAGTACACAGTTTGAAGACTAACTTTGTTTATGTAAGTATTACAAAGTTCTTTTTATAGTTTTTTTAATGTATATCCGATTTGAAGAAGTAGACGGTTTTGTTATTCTTTGATTGCTCTCTAAAAATATAGAGTTATTCTTAAGTCAGAAATTACGTAGCCAAAATCATTAAATCTTTTCTTTACATATCATATAATTTCAGATAAATATTATCCTAGACACATCGGATATTGATCAAAACACTCGAAAGTGGCTCCCTCTACATCTAGATGCGCTGGCGGAGTGCCCAGTTCGTCGAGGTGACGAACTAATTCCGCACGAAGACGTTATTTCTACTACTGAGCGTCTAACCGTTACGTTTAGTAATAATATTGGGTTTGGGAAGCCGGGGAACTTTTCTGTGGGCCTGTTTGGAAACTTCGTTCACATCGAGACAAGAGTAAGTTTCACTATAGTATCTTATTAGTAGAATTCAAAACTAATCGTTTATTATTTATTAGAACTGGTCTCGCCGGTTTTAGGAAAAAAGCTAGTTTCAATTAAGCCGTGCTAGCTTATGTCCTATAATCAGTTATTCTATACTATTTGCTAATATCAATGTTCTTAATATTAATATATGAAGCAATAACTTTAACAGACAAATTATTAGTTTTTTTTTTAATTCCAGTGTGAACCATCAGATTACATTGAAGTTGTCAATCACTTGTACGAAGTATTGTACGCAGCCGAATTGACCAAGGAAAGACTGCTGGTGTTTGCTCAAAGATTGATAAATGATGTTTCACAGGTACAATACAATTATTGTCGCATACAACTTAGACACAGTATTTTTCCATAGTATAAATTAAGTTACATGCAATAAACGCTAGGTTAAGAGATTTAGATCTGTGTCTATTAAAAGTGCGGGAGAGTTTTGTGTCTGATTTTTTGACTTCCTAACGATTTGTTGTGGTTGTACTTAAACTTCATTTGTTATATGTGTTGACAACACAGGTGTGGTTCTCTATTTTGTTAACTTTTCTAATCTATAAATCTGTTGGGTTATGGCAGGTACGTCGAGCTGGCCACAAAATGGTGTATGATATCCTTCGAGACTCGCTCTACAGTAAGGATAGCAACATGCACTGGTCTTCGGTTCTCCGGCAGCAGAAATTCCTCAAAGAGCTGATAGAACAGCTGAACGCTGGTGGGGATTCAGCACAGAATGCCCTCGCTGAGGCCAAGAAGACCATGGCGAATATTACAGCCAAACCGTGGCTGCATATCGCAAGTGATTTGGAAAGATATAAACTTAGTACGGAACCGTGGAAGCAATTTGAAAGAGCGAACGAAATTGTACCGGTTGCGTAAGTTACCATCTTTTGTTTTTGTGTTAATTATTAGTTTGATACCGCCTCCGTAGCTCAATCGTGTGTTGCCTAGCAATTCGATTCTAGTATAACAATATTTTTTTCGGTCTTGAAGGGCACAGTATTAGAGTAACAGCTTCTTATCTGTGTCCCACAGATAGTTAGCAAGTAAAGAATCGTGTCCCACAGATGGGAAACCAGGTTTCACACGATATTTTGAAAGTAATTAACGCTTAGTTTTTTTGCTGATTAAAGGAGTATTTCAGTTTTTCCTTTACATCGGATTGTAAGCGATATTCAAGTGTAATATTTTCGGCCACTCTGTTTTACCGTAATAGACGGGTAGATAAACATATTGACATCGACAAATAACTATTTCTTATTGTATCTTGTTTCAGACCGAAGTTATACTATGATTCAGAGCTAATGTCGGGGTGGGGTGACGGCTTTGTGGTGGGAGTAGGCGGGGTAGAAAGCTCTTTCTTAGCTCAGCTGAGCCCGGGCCCTTCTGGTTACTCGCTGCCCGACGCGCCCTTGGCTGTAGCTCTCAACTATTTTACTCAGCTTGAGGTGAATATTTATTAAAAAAAGTGATCTTTGTATTTGTCCTAATATCTTGAAGAAAACCCGATACTCGCAAGTGATTGAAGAATTTTTTACAATTATAAAAAATATTTGTGGTTTTTTAAGAATTTTGGCGACTGTGAAGTTGTTGTTATTACAAAAAATTATTACTTATATTTTTGATATACTATCTGGGTTCAAACTCCAGACAGATAGGCGGTCTGTCCTTGGATAACATAGAGAAAATGGTTTTTATCTGTTATTATGAACAAAAGGGCGTTTTAGACAGCAAAATGATTCCATGATTTCAGGGTCCGATGTGGCGAGAGATCCGCGGTGGCGGTCTGTCCTACGGGTACGCGGTGCGCACTGCACCTAACGAAGCCAGTTTATTATTGTCGTTGTATAGAGCGACGAATACGCTAGCCGCTTACAATAAGGCTAAGTCTATATTGGTAAATAGCATTTATTATTTGCCACATTGTAAATACGGAAATATTTGAATATTTAAAAACATATAGATTATTGAGGGATCTATTTAGATTAAAACTATTTGAGGACATCTGCTGGACTTGAACCGGCATCCACAGCGATCTGTCCTGCGACTATTAACCAATCTCTACACGAGCTACCTTGTCTCACACCTCTCGCGCAATGTAATTTCAACCCTTAGCCCTTAGGTTTTACGGTTCATAATCCTAAGTTTTTCAGCTCAAGAAATCATTAAAGATACATTTACAGATACTGTTTAATTTTTGGGAGTAGTCACATTTATATAAAAACAATTTAACGGGTTATAGGGGGGGGGGGGGGGGGAAAGGGGGGGAAGGGGGGGGGGGGGGAAAAAAAAAAAGGTTAATTTTAGGAGCTTATGGGTTTTGCATGTGATGGATCTATACAGATTTTCAATCGATGTAAATTTGGTTGTTTACGTATTTGGGCCCCCACTTATGGAAAATTTAATTTTATAACATTATTTTTATTATTGTCCTATTGCATTTTCCAGTATTTTGTGTTCCTACTATATTAATATTTCCCACGTTATAGGAGGATTATTTATCCAGCGGCAAGTTTGACGAGGAATTATTCGCAAGTGCAAAGAGCACTGCACTGTTTGAAGTTGTTGAGAACGAGAAGTGTCCAGCTGATGTCGTTAAACAGTCGCTCACTAACTACATCAAGAGGGTGGGGCCGAAATACAACAGGTAATATAATGTTCAAACTTTTGCTTCGAAGTGCGTACTATTGTTTTCTATTTACGACACTGAGCATAAAAGAACATTTATAGACCAGAAGCGTTTAAATGTGTTAGATAATCTGTGCAATGTCAATACATTGATTTAATGTTAAGAGGACTGTTTAGTTTATTTGTGTTATGATGGTAGTACATGTAAAAATTTTATGCTTTTGTTTTCCCCGCTCTCTTGCATACGGATCGTTGTAGAAAGTATGACGCAATATATAAAAACAGCTTCATCATTGAATTGAATCTTGGCCTTTTACTTCAAAATAACTTCAAAATGTTTGTTTTCAAAACCTCGGGTTCACTTATTCGCGGCCCTTAATATTAGATAGTCGCAGAATTATTTTTTTTAATTTTCTTCTGCCAATCTACCGTCTTTTTAATTAACTCCCCCTGTGACGACGTCTGTGGCAAAGCATTCGAAAGGTCGAGTCGTTAAAATATATTAAAAATAATTTAAGTATTGGTATTTCGTGTTTTAAAGCCGTTACAGTATTTAATTTAATGTATACTATTCGCGTAAACTACAAACAATATTTAATTTACCCTTCTTTTATTTAGATTATTATAATATCCGTCTTAATATATAAAGCTGGTCAATTCCAAGAATATACACACGTATTCAAGAACATAAGTATTGGAAAAATAGTATATGTATTTTTAATATTTCAGAGAATTAACGTGCGCAATAGCAGCTGTGACTCCAGAACAAGCGCACGAGGCTGCTGCACGCTGGCTGCCATCTCTGTTTGACTCGAAGAAAAGCAAACTGGCTATTGTTTGTCATCCAAGTAAAACCAAGGAGATGCAGGCTAGTTTCGAAAAGTATGTATATGTGCTTATTTACGTTGATGATGTTTATTTGACTAAACGCCATCTATCAAATTTATCAGACTTTAATATTCGCGATATTAACCATTATTGGAACTTTTTCAGAATAAATATCAAATTGGAAGCATTCGAATCAATGGAGGCATCTCATTTTAATAAATAAGCGAAGATGTACAAATATCGTTAAGCAAAACGAAAATGTATTATCTAGTGTATTGCTTTTTTAAAATAAATCAACTGCTTGGCTGTGCCTTACACAAAAACTGTATCTGTCTATGCAATTTATATTTTGTTAATAAATACGTAACATTATCACGTTTTTCATTGCAACTTCTAAGCATGCGCTTACGCAAATTAAGGATAAGCCAGCCTGCAGCGCCGAGTTAAAGTGTAGGGTCATGCCTGGAATTTTATAAACGACGTTGTTAATAAGATTCTCTCCCTCTCTCTTGACATCAAATTATTTTAAACGGATTTTAAAGTATAAAAAGGTTCTTGTGTATAATCACAACATATAAAGATGTTATCTTAATTTTTATTTATTATTAACAAAATATCCTTCGGGTTTATTAGCTTCAATTCGTGCATTCAACGATATGGGTCTTGTCTTATAGGCGATAGAGACGAGATAGGTTTAAATACAAAAATATTAAATTAAATTTTAAGAAAACTGATGCCATCTTTTGCCAATGTTGAATATAAATGTGAACAAAATGGCGGCGAGGGGTAGGTAAATAAAATAAATCGTAAATGTATTGATGATTTATTTTTTTATTCACCAGTAAACTTAAAGCTATGTCTATACAAAAAATATAACTTAAATTTAGTCAGATATAATATAGTGAACGTCATATAAATCATCTCACAACCGCTGCAACATCTCCCTAATACATCTTTTCAAACCTTCCATAGAATTAAATCAATTCTTTAACATTGTAACAGTAACTGTTATTCCATACAATATAAACTACAAATTTTACGGTAGACGCAATTTTGTATCACCCTATATCGTTTAACAAAACAATTTTCTTTTACTTCTGTTTAACAATATGTTATGATACAAAATTGGCTCTAATACAATTTTTATTGAAATATATCTTTGAACATTTTGCCTAACGCAGATTTAAGAAGAAATTGAGCTGAGCTACTTGAGTTTTCGAGCTTTTCGGCCTATGTAATTGGAAAATTATTTTTCGAACGAAGACAGTCACTCAGTCTACTGGTGATGGTAAAACGTTAAAAACCATTTCTTAATGACAGCTGCACAGCCCAAAAACAGAAGTAGCTTTGCAAAACGGCCGCGAAAGCCCTAAAAAGTTTAGAAATTGAGCTGTTATCTACTTAACAATCCAAATCGTGCAACTTTTACAATAGTCGAAATATTAACTCCTAATACTGGTATTAACTTTTAACAGAGGAAGTCTATAAATTGAAATTCGGCCGTGAAGACTAATAGGCCATGAATTAGTCGGAGAGTATTTACAAGTCATTAACAATATTCTGCTATGCATAATGCAATAAGCACCAAAGTATATATATGTGTATAGTGCATTTTTTCTAACTTGGCATTTTTGTTTGGTAAACAAAATTTACCAAAAATCGTCATTTTCTTACAAGGCTTCCATTGATTTACACTACAACCATTTTGAGACTTTGGATTATATATTAAACAAAAAGAAAAGCATTACAAACGTCGAGTTAAATAATATTGACATTGTTGACAAAAATTGTCTTTTGCCAAGTTAGAAAAAATACACTATTCTTAAAGGAAGTAAATTTATCAATTCATGTCAATAGTTGATTTAACAAATGTACAAAGTTTTGGTAGAATCTAACATCACATTAGTATGATCCAATGTATGTATTACGCATGCGATATTAAACCTATATATTATAATAGAGGCGGCCCCATTTCCACTATCTAACACGTCTCGTTTATTTGAAGTTATTTCTCACTTTAGACGAGATTCGACTAAACTTTTCTGGAAACTAGTGCTTTTATATGTACAACTTTAGCAAAATTATCACTTAAAAAATTGTTTTATCAAATTTGTCTACTATTTTAGGATAACAAAAGTTTAAAAAGCACTTTTTCAATTCAAGCCAACAGAGATGCTATTGTCTTCAAGAACATCAATAACGCAGTCGAAAGTATAAAAATTACCGATTTCGCTATACGGGGCTTTACACTACGGAATGATGATATTTAACTCCATATAATAACGATATAAATGACACCCTATATACCTTAAAATAGTTAATTCTCCTACGATCCTTAAAAGTAAATTTGTAAAAGTAGTAAATATGTGTAGTTCTCCTACCGTAAACTAAATGCATACACGATAAATTTATCAGAAAAATAAATATAGTAAGAATTTAACTTTGTAAACAAAATCTAGCTTTGGTTGTCACGCGGCGTGACATAAACTAAAATTAACTTAATCATTATTACATTAACTCCCAATAATCAAAGATTAACTCGCAATAATCGTATGGTTAAATCATAATTCGTTTAATTATATAAAAATAGTCGAATATATAGAACGGCCCTGCCGTTTATTTGTTAATGGTAAATATTTTTATATGTCCAACTAATGCACAAATCTCCTCTCGCATAGGAGAAGAATGTAAGAGCTACCATCACGTTGTTCCAGTACGGTTAGGGGTCAAACGACCACCACCACAAAATTTGTGGTGATAACTGGGGCCGACGGCTTAACGCGCTCTTTAAAGCAAATAGATACCTTCTACTTTCGTAACCGAACTGGTGGTAGAAAACTTCTATAACCAGTATTCGAACCCATGATTCCAGCGCACTAACCACTAGACCAACGAGGGAGTGGTATAACAGTTTCCAATTTAAACTTGGTAAATATCTATTGAAAGCTTACGAACTATAACCTAACCTCAAACTAGGTTGTTCTACTAAACTTAGTAGAATTGAATTGAAATGAAAAAAAAAATCTAGTAGAACAAGTGGCCTATGTAAATAGATTTCGAACTTTGTCGTTCGTTTACTTCGTCAAAGATATAAGTAGCTTTTATTTAACGACTTATTCGCGGTATCACAAGTCTTTTTGCTCAATAAGATGGGAAGTACCATCTTGGTTTTTTATATGTATATAACAAATTATTCTTTGAAGCATCCTAACATTAAAATGTTACTGTATTGAAATAAAATGATTAAAAACCAAAGTTTGACAAGCGAACTGAATGTAAATTTAAAATCCATCACTTTTACACGAGCTTTTAAAATTCATCCCGCTCGAAGGACCATAAAACCAATTTTAGTTTTATGATTAAAAACTCAAGTTTAAAGGTTCCGTATGGTAGTTGAAACCGTTCCAATATCTAGTTTACATGGCAGAGTTTGCGTCGATAGACGGCGTATGCATACGTAACGCTTCTCGTATGTAGCTGCTGATGCTGTTCTCGGCCACCAAGTGGAAGAAGAACAGGTGCTCGAAACTCTTGAGCGAGATGGACCGGAGCGCCGGGAGCCGAAGCAGTAGTGAGGCGAAGCGACCTTCTTCTGTACTGTGTGACCGACGGCAGTACTCGTCCAGACATGAGAACATCTGGAAGATAACCATTTGAGATTTTTATATCGTAAGTAGAAAAAAGATGGCGTCTCCGTAGGAAATTTTATGACATAAGTATTTCTTCTTAAAAATAAACTACTACTACCACACTAGTATGAGTTCAAACAACTGCGTTTGTAAAGTAAATTAACGGATATGGGAGACAAACAAGTATAAGAAACAATTAAATAGGTTTATTTAGGTAGCACGAGATATTACTTGTAATAATTTAAGTTTGAATAAAATAGTTTAAAACGCTAAAATATATAGTCGTTAAATTATTGTTTAACTTATCTTCCCCCATGACCATAGCTACTGCTGAAGTATCTAATATGTCGGGTGGTTAGAATGCATTAAAAATAACTCTACTTATGTATTACTTTATTTTTAGTATCAAATATTCATAACTTTTATTTGCTTAATGAAGTTAATTTTGACTGAATATTTCAGGTATTTAAAATGCCCGCGTAAAATGAACAACAGGAGTATAAAATAAATACTTTGCATACCTTCTCTCTTAAAACGTCGACTTCTTGTCGGTTTTTCAGCCCTTTCACATCTGTAACGAGACAATAAAGACGTTATTTATTAAACAACTCCGACGTGTATAAGCTAGAAACAAAGTTATGTAAATAAATACATATTTTCACACACACTCGTAATTGAACTCACCTGGATTAAGAAGCACGATGGCTTTGAGAGCTACGTACTCGGCTTGGTCCATGCGAAGCGCTCGCATCTTGAGCGACAGTTCGGAGAGGACTCGGTCGAAGATTTGACCCACGCCAGCCTGCAGCGCCGAGTTACGGTGTAGGGTCATGCCTGGAATTTTATAAACGACGTTTTAATAAGATTCTCTCTTCATTTTCATTTTGAAGTATAAAAAGGTTCTTGTTTATAATCTTCTTCTTAAGGTTCTTGTAATATTAATTTTTATTTATTATTAACAAAATATACTTCGGTTTATTAGCTTAAATTCATACATTCAAGGAGATAGGCCTTATAGGTGATAGAGGCGAGATAGGTATAAATACAAAAGTATTCAATTTAATTTGAAGAAAACTGATGGCATCTTTTGGCAATGTTGAAAGTCTTGCGTCAGCATAAGTTGCCGCACAGTTGCTACAACACTGGTTTTCAGCAAAACCTTACTGTACGTCTGTTATATAGCGCTAATACAAGCAAGCGTTTGATATTTTCAACTTTTGACTTAACGGGGAAACTTTAGTACGCAATAAATTAATAACTATTGCAATTATTGGCGTAAATAGGAGGGTGAAATTCTTGCGCCCAGCGACAAGGTGTTCTGGTGGTTTATTTCACAGTGAAATAGGTTTATATGTAGTAGAGTATATATTAAAAATATTACCAGACATAAAACACATGAGTTGCGGCGGCGAAGCAGTGCTCGTGCCGTCCATGTTCTCTCGCTCCTCCTCAAGAAACTCAATGGAACGCCAAGCTATCGCGAACAGCAGGAGCTCGTTCCAGGACGCCTTGATGAGTAACACCTGGTCGTCCATCTCCAGCTGGCTGAAGTGTGGGATGTCACGCGCCCACGCAACGAGCGCGGCGATTTGTTTGTTACCTGGAATCACGTTGCACAAAAAACTATTAAAGGATAAATTTAAAAGAATTTAATTACTTAATCAAGTCACAAAAAAAAATCTATAAATGATACACATATATTATACACATATCGAACTAGTGGATTATTAATAAAATTTTAACGTTTTTTTAGACCCGGGCCATAACTATCTATACTAATATATAAAGCTAAAAAGTTTGTTTGTTTGAACGCGCTAATCTCAGGAACTACGGGTTCGAATTGAAAAATTCTTTCGTTCGAAAAATTATTTCATTTCGAGGAAGATTATATATAGACTATAAAACATCGCGCTGCGACTAATAAGAGCGAAGGTACAGCGGGAAATGTGAACACAACGGGGGATTTCTTTTTATTCTGTGGGTTTCAGATGCGTGCGAAAACGGTTCAAGATACCTAAAGAATGTGTATGAAAGAATGATTCCTCGTTAAATGTTCTAAAAAAGTCCCCGACGCTATATCTTTTAAGATTAACTTGCAAGAACGACGGAATGGGACGCGATTGACGTCGTGGCTAACAGCTTAAGTTTATAAAGATGACGGGGTTAGCGAAAACTAATTTGGAAGCCCAAAATAACGAGTTGATAGTTTTTAATAAAACAATCAACTCTGATATAAAACATGTGACTGTGACGTTTGCCCGAATATCGATAACGCTAATGAATATCTGTAGGTTATGTATGCGAGTGGTATTCAAATAAAACATTATTAACGGTTTAAAACACCATATATAGTTAATTTTTATTTTCAACAACGACTCGATGTTATATAACTGGGCTATAGAGAATGCTTTTTTTATAGAGAATTGAAGACCACAAAATTAAAATACCACAGCTATATCTAAACAAGATCTCAGTGGACCTATTTTGGCTTTAATGTTAGATTAGGTTAGTCATTTTACGTCTCTCATCTCCAAAACGTCCTGGCGCTGGAACTTCTTATTACATGAAAAGATGTTCCCCCTAATGTACTTTTGTGTTTGTTTGGTTTCTGGTAAACTTTGTAATTTACGCCTAAGCAAATTCATGACGTTAGTTTACCATTAGAGAACATTACCCTTCGGAGTTTTATAAAAAATCGCCTTTATCGATCAATATAGATAGAACATACCTATTTCACAGAGGCTGGAGACTGGCGCCCTATACCTGGGCGGCACGTTCGTGTCTGGTCCGACGCGAAGGATTTGGAAGTTCACGTTCGTGTCTGCGACCAGCGATTCCATCTCTAGAAGTCGTTCGATGGATAGTTCCTGCAATTGAACGATCTGCTATTTTATATTTCTGTGTGTGATGAACAGGACAAGAGAGAAATATACTATAGATTCCTATATATCGATATAGAGGATTCAATTAAAACCGAGGTTCACACATCTTGTATAATCCATGTGGAGATCGAGATCGTTGCTTTTTCGGATCTTAGACTAAAGAAGGAATAATGCAGTAAAACCATAATGACGTATTGACCACCACCGTAACTTGATAGGTAAACTTATTTCCTAGCACTGCGAGGGTTCCTAGATTCTGTTCCTGAATCTCGGTTAAATCGTAAACTGTTTCAGTCGAGCAGGGCAGAGAAGTATGATCTTGTCTTGCCTCTAAATAAAATAGATCAGTGAAACGGATAGAGAATTATGTTTACTTTGCCTAACGGGTAAACGTGACGTCACTTATATTGAAAATTAGTCTTTCTACCTTTTTCTTAGATAGCTCTTATGTAGAACAGGGAAATCGTAATTTATTGTTTTATTATGTTTTGACTACCGCGTTGGTTCTATCTTACTATATATTTGAAACCAAACTTGTTCTACTTTCGTTAAATAATTTTTGACTTTGACTAAGCACAACACTTCTAAGTATACGTATATCTAGCGAACCACTAGGACTAAAAATCTATCTATACTTTGAAGTTAGGTGCTACGCGATACGTATAGCGAAATTACGTGTTAAGCATCGTCCTTGATCAAATAAAGGGCCCCGGAAGCAGCTGACGAAAAAAATATTTACGCAGTTGGCGGCCAAAAGTGTGTACACAATTATGTAATACTGTCATGCACACGATGTAACTATAATGTGATATTTCAAACATATAATATTCGTTGCTATGTATTGCTTTTGTGTCCTTCAAAAGATTTCTTTTTTTACGGGTAGGTCTGAGTATCGATCAACGCTTACAATATTTTGCAAAAAAAGTGACAAGGTTCCCTAATTATTGTTAATCGGTTGTTAGCTAGGTAGTTGAGTATAAATACACCTAGGTAAATAAATAATTCAAAGCACCGTAGAGAAATGGTGGTGTGGTCGGCTATACGATATACGACCATGTCACCATTTCCCGACATGGGCGTGTAATAGGCATTCACATCATCAGTAAAAAAAAAAATAAAGTGCGTCAGCAAGTGATATTATAGACTGTTAAATCTGTTTTCGCAGGTTACAGTATGTTATATCCGCGTAAATTTAATATGCATGTAATGGATGATAACACAATTGTCTCAATTGTTTTCCAATATTATTAATATGTATTTGCGATTTTATATAACACTTTTAGCGGTTTAAAACGGGAAATATTTCAGTTAGCTTATTTTTAGTTAACAAATCGAAACGTCCGCGTCGGGCCGTAGTTAAAATATAATAAACGTAATATATTTCTCGTTTTATACCGTTAAATAATAAATGTATACTGTCTCGTAAAATACAGAAAATATTTGCTATAGTCACTGTTTGGATCCTTTTTAAAAGAATACTTGTTATTATTGTATAAGTAATGGTTTTCTCGACATTTTTTTTTTTTATTATAATTAATAATATAAATACACAGAGGGTAGCCGAATATTTCTAAAAATCAGGCAATCACAAAGGTCCCTTTAAACGGATTCCGAGAAAAACAGCGCCGACGCAATTTAAAACGATCGATTGTCTGCAAGTAAACCTTTCATCGCGCGGCCTTGGTTCGAAAAATTAACATACATAATGTTTATTTATATACGATCATTACCTTTCAGTGGAATGTAGTTGTTAATTAAGTCAAAGTGGATTTACCAGGTCCTAATATTTCCGATTGATAAGCCTTAAGTGATTTTTTGCTATCTAATTCCCAAGTTCGTTAATTTTATTAGGTTTACTTTTTAAAGGAAACCCCACATTACATTAGACGGTAACGATTACAAAAGTACGACACATTTGAAAATATAATGCATTCGATGGCATAATATAAACGAAAATCGAGTTTAGATTGAAAAATCCGTGCTCTAACCAATTGATACGGTAGGTAATAGGTATTTATTTGAAATCGGCGTGTATCTATTACAATTCGAATTTTAAAGATTTGATTTTAAACATCAGTTAAAATACAATTATGTTGCCAATTAATTATTATACAAAGGCTTGCCTACTCGAAACTATACTACTTAGTATAACATAAAAAAATATTTTTTTTACGATAGAGAAGGACAGACAGACATGGGATTCACTCGATGGAAGGTGTAATACCTCTGCCATATAAACAAGATGCGCTATCGACCTATTTGGCTTTGGATATTCGGAAATCAAGAGACTGAAGCGGACGCTATTAAATTCATAGCTTTTCCATCTCTGGACGTTGGTTCGTTACCCGGACGGAATATCGATGTTCCTACCATCCATTCAATATCGAGACTTTAAGGCGAAGTGCAAAATGTTTCAGAACACATATAAATTGAATTGTTGGACGTAAAAAATAATAACGTTTCAAATGAATAGATTAACGGTTAATTCCTTTCACGGTCTTAAATATAAATTCCAAACGATTACCCCGAAAAAGTATCGAATAAATCTCTTATAGATAATTAACTCCGACGGCCCGGTATAACTGCGTGTGACGTTTCAGATTGTATTATTCAATTTAGCAAGTTTTAGCACTAAGCTGGATAATAAATCTCCTTTACATAATGATTAATGAGTTTGGATATTACTGAATATCAAATGAATATTACTTAGTGCTTATTACCAAACTTTTACTAGGTGCTAGTTTGAATTGCATTGAAAAAGTTTTTGAACCTCAATACGTATTAAGGTTGAAAACATAATACTCGAGTGGTTCTCGTTTAATTTATACGTGCTAGGACATCAAATAATATTTGGACCTATTTCTATGTAGATATGTTTAGACAATGTAAAGTGTTAAATTGTGACTGCCTCGTTTCGTTGAGTCAATAAGGGAAATATACGAAAATTCCCTTACTATAAGAAAAACTGTCGCTGAACAGAGTAAATAGCATTTACGTATTTCGAACTGCAATAGTAAACAGAGCCTATACATAAAAAGTTCAGGTTTCTTTATGGGAGTGCTAGATTGTCGCCTATACTGCAGTCGATTAATAAAAATATCTACCTGTACGGAACTGCTGGGGTACGTGTCTTCGACTCCTCGCGATGCCCGCTGCCTCTCCTCCTGCACGGCCTCCCTCTTCATCCCGCAAGCGAGACATTTCTGGTAGCGGCAAAATTGACATCGATTCCGCTGCCGCTTGTCTATTATGCAATTCCTCTCTTCTCGACAGGCGTACGTGAGGTCCTTCCTCACCGTTCGTTTGAAGAAGCCTTTGCAGCCTTCGCAACTGGAAACAGATGCGCCTGAGTCAGTTCACTCGGATCTATTACATCTATAAACATATTTACCTCCTACGTGAACTATTTTTACTTTTCCCTAGTCAGAGGTAATCTTATACAACTCTAAATTTGATGCAATAGCTCAATTAAATAAAAAAATTCTTTTTTCTATATTATTTGTAATTGTCCAATATATTGTTTTGTATATTGAAACTCAGAAGATGTGTTAATCTAACTCGCGAAAATTTACGTCGATGTCTATAATTCATCCAAATATTTATTGTGTGAGTGCACCTTAAAAATGCTAAACAAGCTGTTACATATATACTAAACTCATATATATAAAAATAAAGAGATCCAAATGTTTTTGTAAAGCTTAACATTCAGTTAGAATAAACGCAATTTGAAATACCTATTAAACTATTTCGTTTCTGTAGCGTCACATTTTTTTATAATTAGTATAGACCTTATTACAAATTAGCCGCGACTGTGTTTCAATTAAATTCATTGGAATAATTAAACTTTTAAATTATTCCGTTATGTCAATATTCCATTTGAAAAACTGACATCATTTCAATTTCCGATTACATCAAGTCGCCGACGAAACTACGAAGATAAACAAATATTAGGCGGATCCTATGTCAAATTTATAAATGAGCTTAAGCACTTTAAATTCATATAATTTATTTGTAATATTTGCCACCGTGATTGTCAAGTCAGATGTGACACAATAACATATCTATAGAACTATAATTTATTGACTAGCAAGTCGCCTGATGTTTTGGATAGCCTTTCTTCTTCGTCGGTCTAACCAACACAAAATATGTTTTCAATCACGAACCCGTTTGTTCCTCGTAATTATTTTTTCCGCATTTTCAAACAAACAATGAATAGATTGCTTGTACAAGTAGCTGAGTTTTATAGACAGTCATTCCTCATGTTGTCTTTTAAGCGCAGACTGTTTAGCCGTCTGTTATAATATGTTGCGTATGCTAAATGTTTTGTTTATGACAAACCGGGCCTAATTTTTCTGATGCTAATCTGTGGTCATTAGTTAACGTGTTCTCTGAATTTAACAGAGGTACTAATATTCGTTGTCTGAAACGCTTATTTAGATTAACAACGAACAACGCCATTTTGAACACTACTACTCATCGTTTAAGTAAAATTAATCCAAGTCGCGATAAGATAATATCATGTTTTTTTTTCACTTACACCATTCTATATAACAGCCCCTAGAGTAAATTAATGCATATTTCATATTATACTATTTTTTTAATATATATATGAGTCAATGTTTATGATGATTATTAAATAATGTACAAACTACAGTACAGCATTACATAGCTCTTAACAATTACCAGCAGTATGTAACCGGGTTGTGGCTAATGAAGAACGGATGACTATCAACTGGCAAGAACCCTCCGTACCAACGTCATTTGTTGTGCGACTGTCATTCGTGGGAACATCTCTGTGTGTATATAAAGCTTATGTGATTTTATGAAAGAAATCCTTTTACATAGACGATAGATTATAGAATATGTAAATAGATTATGACTGATTATTCAAGCTTACGTTCCGATTTTAAATGAAGTATGGCATAGCTGGATATAGATAGTTTCTTTTTTTTCGGAATTCAAAAAGGTTCTGCGTCATTAGAGGAATGTAAGATTCAAATTTTAAATTCAAGTTGATATACTACGGCCCATATCATTTTTGAAATAAAATTTATCCTTATTAGTTAGGGTTGTCAAATTGCAAACCGTATATATAAGTGCATATGTATATTGTTGTACTGGAAAGGTGTGTGTGTGAAATCCCGTTTCCCCTTCGTGGGGCATGGGGCGAAGACATTTTTGTGTCCGTTTCACTGATCCGTTCTTTAATAGGCAAGTAGTTGATCAGACTTCTGTGCCCGACCGAAACAATTTTTTGTTACCCTGGGATTCGAACCCAGGACCTCTCGCGCTTAACGTAACGCTGCGTTTAACCACTTGGCTACACATGCTATTTCAGCACTGAAGAGAAACAAATAAATGCGGCGTTACATTACGATGTTTGGGAGTTATTAAATTATAACCTATATAATGTTATATTGTTAAGAGGTCCTTATAGGTTTATTTTTATACCATTTTGTGTCGTAAACATATTGGGAACCCTATCTATGTGTGCGGTACCTCTAATCCATTTTGTCGCCTATCGCTTTTAACATAAAGCATTCTCAAGGTGAAAATAAATGTCTCTTGCATGACATTACACATTGACGACGATCGATCGATAGAATTGTAAATTGTTTCAATAATGTATATATCGACATAGTACACAAGGCGCCTTCCACGCGTTTCTCGCTCCTATAATAATTCGACTAGTTTTCTCCAAGTTCTGTAGGAATTTCTTGGGTCGCAACACCTGTCTACAATCTCGCACAGCTCTCATCGCGATTATTTTAAAACATAGTCGTCTAGGAGTCTAGACGATCTTATGTAAAATAACGCTGGATCTTCTATGTATATTTTGAAGTAAATGTTGGAACGCGCAGACACCGCAAGTGCAGTACATAGCATTATTTTATGTGTAAGGTGCTGAGAATGTATTGAAATTTGCATTTTTATATCCTTTCTCGTTTGTACTGCATGCATATAATGATATTATTTGATATCGCTATGTTAAAAACTCTTATATCATAAGAATTTTCAGTTCCAGTATTCTTAAACAATCTAGCTATAATTACATAACTTCGACCATTATACTCTGTATACAATATAAAACAATACAATATCTTATCAACAAGATGCATATTCTACTATTTTAGGGATTCAAATTACAAAGCCTTCAAATTCATCAAATTTATTGGAGAACGAACTTCCAAAGATGTTTGATGAAAGCTTAAACGAAATTAAAAATATGTATTTTTCGAAATATCCCTGAATTATTTTCAATACTATATGTGTTTAGTACACATTTATTAATAAAATATATAACAAAAAAATGTACGACGTAATTATAAAATTTTCACTTTTGCCGCCAATACTAGAGGCGAATAGATTTTTAAATTGCCTAAACGCCATTTGTTTTAGATCGCTATGATACCGATTCTGATACTCGATTCTTATGCTCACAAAATTCTGAAGAGTGTACCTGTATACGCCGTAGTGCTTCCCTGACGCCCTATCGCCGCATATAGAACACAAGTGTTTCGATCCACTCAGAGGATGGTTGGGCGGATAATTCCTCAACGCCGGCGGTGAGGTGGCATCATCCCGCATACCGCCGTCCAGCATGGCCGTGTCCGGCTTCATCTCGGGCGGTGACATCGGCGACATGAACCCCGACTCCAGATTCAGCCCTGCAAACAAAAACGTACTTTAATTCACATCAATTGGTATCATTTCCCTTCACCTGCCCCAGTACTGTTCTGATATTTAGGTCAGCACGAAGACGATCAGTTAATCGCATCCTTTATTGACGTCGAGACGGACTAACAATGCAGTGAATTATGCGATCGTTGCATTTGAGCATGTAGGTATTATCTTGTCAATCTTGGAACTATAAATTTCATTAATCAGTTATTGAATCAGGTAATTCCGTATTAAAACAGGATAATACCGAAGTAAACTTTACTTCATCCGTCATACACTAGAATGGAGACAATGATTAGGCAAACGCAGCGCAGCACGACTAGCAGCACGGTGAACAGAACATGACCTGATGAAAATAGCGGGCAGCAAATAGACAAGATCATGATCAAGAGAGGTCCGAGTGTGGCTGTTGAGAGAGGCCTACGTCCACAGGTGACGCATATTTGACGGTTGATGAAATTTTACGAAAAGAACACTTAACGCAAATTAAAATAATTATAACATACATGTTTACTAAGTGCGGATTGAACTGAGGTTCCTCGTCCGTGATCATCTAATTTTTCACCCAATGCGTAAGTGTTAAGGTCGAATTAATAGAATATTTAAATTACAGAATTTAATACTTTTTAGAGTTTATATATCTATATATATACAGTAACACTAAAAATGCATGCAAAAATTATAATGAATTCAAGTCTATGCACTGTATAAGCCACGAAGTTAAAATTAGCAGCTTTGATGCATGAAGTAGGTATTTGTAAGTGCGCATTATATTAACTTACAGCGCAAACAATGTACAGTCATTGAAAGCGAACGCGGCGAGGCGGATGATGTAGAGAATAAAACAAAAAACTATTGTGGGCCGTTCAGAAAAAGCTGACAAAACCGGTTCATTAGTCAGGGGGAGTCCAGGAGCTGGTAAAAAGTGAACAAACAACGACCCACCCTCTGAAAATTCAATCTAAAAGGCACCTCGCTCTAAACTGCTCTTAAGGCCTTTGTATACAAAAACATTCTGCGAAAACATCTGTGCGCGCAGTACGATGGAAAATTGCCTTATATTTATATTAAAATTAAGAACCCGTGACGTGGCTACGTGAATAGTAATTAAACGATTCCCGCTAAACAAGCAATCTCGTTGAGTAAACAGTTTATTTTAAATTCGTAAACCATCATAATAAACAAAATCGCTTTTGCCTGAAAGATTACAAATAGACATTAAAATCATAATTACAAGTCGAATTGATTGAAACTTTTGTAAATTTTCTCAGCCCACATACTGGAAACTGTATGTCTTAAAATAATGTGAGCAAAATGTCATTTTTTATAGAAAACAATTTACGTCTTGCGCGTAGAGTTTATAATGGAGAAGGGAGTGGATAACCACTAATCCTATCAAAGTGTTAATTTAAGGTAATGTTCACTATCCTCTATCCTAACCACTTATTAGTTATTACAAAATACAGTATTTATTAATATTTCCTTAAGTTGCAGTCGGTACTCAATACGATACGAAATTTGCAATTGCAAAAAGAGAATAAAGGCAGTGAAACAAGAGACTAAAGCCATACCATAAAGAGTAACCGAAAATAAATCGAAGAACAGACCAAAAGTGTATCGTAATAAAACTGATGAAAATGCAAAAGAGGTTTTATAAGTGGAATTTGTTTTTCATTGACGTAAAGAGTTTTATCGGCAAGCGAATAATTTCATATGCTCGTGATGGGATTTAATCGAAGGTTTTTTGTTTCACTATATGTGTTGTTGCCAAACTGTGGAGGGGAACAAAGTAACACTAGGGACTGAGAAGAATTATATCTTAAAATGGTACTAAGCTATTATATAACGTAGTATTATAGTGATAGTAGTTTTTCCAAAGTTAGTAGTAGAATTCGTAAGTCAAATGTCCTTTAGCCTTTGGAAATCAACCAACATCTTTGACGTCATCATTCTCAGGCCACATCTTAAACTAAAAAATATTTAAATAGTGTACTACTCGCGTAAACTATAGACAATATTTAAAAAATATTTATTAAATAGCATTTAATTCGCTTAGGTAGATTTATTATTTTTCAATGACCAACGTTTATTTAACCAAAATTTAAATATAGCTCGGCGTAATTACATGTATACAAGTGAGCGGTGTTCAAAACTGTTCACCTTATAACATTGTAATACACTGGAAAAGCATTGATAAGGGGGGCAAAAATAAAAGTTTATCAAAACAGTGAATGCATGATAAAGCGATTACGTTGTTATCACACAAAGAAAGTAGACCGAGATAACGCGACTCTACTTATTTGACATGCATTGGGACGGCATTATTATAATATTAACATAATTTGCATATAACATTTTTAGTGGAGATTTTTATTCTGTAATATATATTTATCAATTCCTTAATGTATTATTTAAATATTTAAATTATTTCGCTGTTAAAAACAAAATCTGTACTAATGAGAAGTATTTATGCTACTGAAGAGTTTGTTTCTTTGTTTGAATGTGCCAATCTTGGGTATCTATTACTGGTTCGATTAAAAAAAATATTTTTGTGACGGGTAGAGCATTTATCGAGAACAGCTATAAAACATTGCACTGTGACTGATAGGAGCAAAGAAATAGCGAGAAGTATAGAAGAAATGGGGCAAATAATTAATTTCTGTGAGTTTCCGTTGCGTATGCTGCGAAAACGGTTTCAAGATGTCCAAAAGAATGATACCTCTTTAAATGGTCTAACAAAACCATAGAGTTAAAGTCATAAAGATGAAAAGGAAATTTGCAAATTTCGATATCCAAAATTACTACTCTATGCGAACGAATTCGCTGTCACAGCAAGTGTTTAATAAACATAGTGCATATTATATACTATTTGGAAAAGCAAATAGGTTGTGTCATCAAACTGCTCTCACTTAGTAAATGTACTTTTCAAGTCCAAACAGTGTAAATATTAATTATATTAGGTACCTAAACGACGATAACCTTAAAATGTTTATAGGCAGAAAAGTTATGATTGACTTGACATTATTAAGTAAAATTTTCTCGTAATGAAATTACGCTGCTGAAAGGGACTGAAAAACAGGCGTATTTAATTTGATTCCACTCGCTTTGAAAGAAAAAAGAGATTGGAACGATCGTATATCTAATTACCTACGTAATCATGTTATCATGGATGTAATATGAATCTTCTTAAGAAGTACCTACTGAGTCTTGAGTCAGACGAATAAGAAATTTCATTTATTGGAATTACATGTTTGAAGTATATAATATCAGAAGTTACCACGAAACAAATACTTATATTCAATGTTTAATTTGTACAGATGAAAACATAGTAATTTTGCTGATTTTAAAGGTCCAAACTGCTTGATCGATTTTGATACAGTTTAGATGGGTGAGGACGTACCAATATGTTAATTAACCTCTCTACTCAAAATAATCGCATTGATTTGATAGCTTACAGATTGATTATTACACGAAACGCCTTGACTGATTTTGATAAGATTTTAGATTAACTGTAAAAATGTATATATATACTGTCTGATTAAAATTCTGGAAATAAAACTCGTGGTGCAACTACCTAGTTAATAATTACATCGATCCAGCAAAAAGGAAATATACAATCAGGTTTCTTTAGCGCAGACGTGGTCGTTACAGATGGTATATACTTATCTGGAAAATGAGATTTCATCACAACATAGCGAGATTTTTAGATCGTGAGATGTCGCAGACGAAATGGAGTAATGAATCAAGGGATGTTCATGACAGGAGAAAGGGTACGTCTGAGATTAAGCGAGACACGAAACAAAGTACAATGCCTATATATATCTACATATATTTTTTATTATATGTGGAATGGAGATAGATTTTAGAAGGGTTTTCGATATACATTAGAAAATCTTGTCTGTGCTTACTTAAGCAGACTAAATACTGTCTGTAGTTTACGCGAGTAGTACACATTTAATTGTGTACTACTCTGTAAAAAACAAAATGTCAAACACACACACAAAAGTATTTAAATAATTTTCAAACAAGTTTAACTAAAATATGTCGCGTTTTAAACCGTTAAAATGTTATTTAAGCAGACTAGTTATGAATAAATAGACCTGAAAACTTAGTAAGCAATAAGAACTAAACCGTTCTAGTAAGTATAGCAAGTAGAAAGAAAGATTTTTCACTAAGATATTTCTTGTCATTACTTACTAATAAAACAATGGCATATCCAAAAATATATTAGAGATGTTTACATCCATGAAATATGTTATTATTACCTTATATACCTTAATAAATTTATTAATTCATTTATATGAAACTATAGCTTAATATAAACTTTTACCCCTGTTACAAACTATAACAATAATTATTATTAATAAATATAAACGAGAGATGGCTTATCAATGAAAGTTCAAAGAGAATTAAGGGCACATTGCCAACAAAAGTGAAAACTTACAATATTCATGTGGTTTTGATTGATTTCAATACATTCTGGATCAACACTTCAGGGGTTGCAAACGAGGGTTTAGCTTTGTTGAAACGTGTATAGGCTGGGTAATTATAGAAAACAACCGAGATATAGATTAATACCGTTTATTAATTTTTTGGAATTAGGAAACTTAAGTATTGTTTATATTTAAGAGACTGTTACATATAATACTTTTACCGTTTGGAATCTTAAATTTTTACGCATCAGGTGTATATTTGGAAAAATCTATTTAGATAGATAAAAAGTTCCGACACAACGACTGTTATTGTCAACAGTTGACACTGTGTGAATGCCGGTTCAAGTCTCGCCCGTGTCGTAAATTGTCATCAATCTGAATATATTTTTTATTTAAACGATTATAGAGAAAATACTTTTGTAATTGCATACCGATTAGAAAGAGCACTATGCGTCCGTTCTGTAAGAGTCCAGATAGTATCTACGAGCATTAAGTAAGAGGAAACAGATGGCGCTAGCCTAGCATGTTTACTTGAAATTATGGATGGACGCTCGCCACCATATTCCCGCGTGATCACGGCTGCTGTAAAGCTTCCGTTTTAAAAATATTCTTATATAAACTATAGTAGTATAGTATCAGGACACTTTGATTTACTGTAATTATTGTCTGTTTACTTGCTTTGAAAGGTTCTCTTACCAAGAGTTACTGTTTTTTTTCGTGTTACAAGTTTTATAGAGGAATTGAAAAAACTTTGAAGATTGCCTCAGTAAGACAGCAATGAATGTATCTGATGACGTAGAGAATAAACTTAACTTTGTACTACATTTAAATATACACGAGATGTATACTTACAAGTCGCACTTGCTTTTTAAATACATACCAATGTCATATAACACGTTTATCTAATACGAGATTAATTAAATAAAAACTACGGGTTCAAACAAAACAATGATGTCATAAAATGCCTCATTAGATGTTATAAAAATACTACAACCCCCCCATTTTAAATAAATAAACAGCCTAAATAATAAAAAAAACTACCCAAAGTTGCGTACACTTCTCACCCGCTACTAGCTGTGGCCGCGACTTCGTCCGCTTGGGAAGTAGACAATAAATCTTTCTATATTACTCCTACATTCGGTTGGTTATTTTATTTCTTTTAAAGAAAACCTAGAGTCTAAAGTAATGCTTTTTTATGTAGTTGTATGATATTAAAGTAATCAATACTATGGAATTTAATTGTTTGTTATTGGAATGAAATAAAGCCCTATATATCTAGTTTCCTTATGTAGGGTATAAGTTTACTTCCCTGGGGGATTCAAACCCACGAATTATTGGTAATGTGTTAACGTTAGCTACATCGACGGTAATTTCTTACATTAAAGTAACAATTAAGTAAATATTTAAAAATTCTGATTTGTATATAGCTTTATTAACTTTACTAAAACAGAAAAAAATGGTCCACTGTTATTTTAAAAGCTTATAGCAAAGCATATTAGTCAAAGTCACGTTATCTAATGTGTTTGTATAATTAAGGTATTTTTTGTACAAAGTTGAAAATGTATAAGGTCGCTTTCGCGTGTTACAACGAACGAAATCTTTGTGCGTGGCTTTGGAAACGCACATATTACACGAGAAAGGAAACAAAATAGTTATTGTGTTGGATTCTTATCCAAAAATAAAGCGTTAATGTTTTCGTATATCAAACTACAACTATATATATATGGTTGTAACTCAAGTACATAACTTAACGATTTTTGGCTGCTAAGGGCGACTAAATCACCCCACCCCGGTTTTTACGAGACTTTGACTCTCCCTAAGATGTTCATTGGATCTTAAAAATCTAATTATTTCGCTTAAAGTAAAATCTCTATTAATGCCTAGAGGCTAGATTATTGAGTAATAGCAAAAAATATTGTGAAAATCTTGTTTCCCTTGGTACTGGGAGCTCATATAAATGCCCGTTGAGTGATTGTTTTTAGTTACAGGGAATTAGTTTATCAGACTTCCGTGTCGTGTCCGAATGAAACTATTATGTTTTCCCGGGATCCAAACTCGGATTTCTTGTGAGCCCAGCAAGTAGATATTAAAAGTAAACTATTAAATCATATCAATTGAATATCTTTGTTCTGATTACAGACACTTCACAAAATTAGGCGTTGACCGCTGAAATTGTTCACCTATTGTTGTCTGTCTCCAATTGCTAAATTGGCTATTGACGTTAATTAAAACAACTCCGATCACTGTAATTTCTGAAAAATATATAAAGCTGAAGAGTTTGTTTGTTTGTTTGCTTATATATTTAAAATTTGTTGTGCTGGTTAGAGCATTTGTCGAGGAAGGCTATAGACTCTGTGACTAATACAAGCGCAGATACAGTGAGAAAAGTGAAAGAAATTGGGAAAATTATGGGTCATCGTCATTATGGGTTTCCGAGGCGTACGCTGCAAAAACGGTTCAAGACACCCAAAAAATATGTATGAAAGAATGATTCCTCTTCAAATGATCTAAAAAAGTCCGCGGTCAACGTCGTAGGTATCAGCCATGATTAATAAAGATGTGGAGTAGGTTTGCTTAAACAAATTTAGATGCCTAGAATAAGTATTCTACGCGGACGAAGTCGCTGACACAGCTAGTATCTTATAATCCAAGAGAAACTATTTTTTTTATTTAATCTCTTATTTCTGGGCTTCCTATACGTAAAAAGTTTTAGTCTTGATAATATATATAATGTTTGTATGTAGAACTGTTACTTTTTATATAGGTATTATTTTCGCTTATGTGTTAAGCCTATTAACAGGTTAAGCCTTTGGTTTCCTAGATACTTTTAACTAAGCGTAATGTTTAGGTTTATGATATGTTATTAAATATTATAAAAATGGAATCTGTGGTCTAGTAGGGTATATTAAAAAACTCTAGGACGACTTAGAGCTTACTTTAACTAAATTCAACGATGTTCTTCATCATTGTCATAACTCGATCGCGCGATGTTAATTATGATGATAACACTCGCTGTTATCACCAATTCGTAAAACATTTTAATTTATTAATTTTGTGAAAATCTTTCGACATCAAGAGCACTGATTAATAAATATGTGTATAAATAAATAACGTTATTAGTTGCATATTTTCCAAACATATATTTTATGTACAACACTTGAATATTAACGTTAATTGTATCTTTTGTTTGTGACTATCTCTACCAAAGTAAATTCTAGGGTTAAAATTATACTGATAACTAGCGCATAAATATGCACTAGTTTATAATAGTCTTGTGGTATTAGAAAATTCTTGTATATTTACATTGCATATCAATGGAGTAATCAACGTTGGACATGGTGGGTGTGCCAGGTGACTGCAGCATATTGGCGGAAGGCGCTGGGGTGGCCGGCGGCGGCTGCGGCTGCCCCGGCGGGGCAGGGCGCGCCCACTGCATCAGCGCAGTCACTGACATTGTCGGCTTATCTTTCTTCGCCACACTCGACATGACAGCACTAGCATCCTCACATCACTACCGATTCACAGATCGAATTACACGCCACCACTGTAAATGCGCACGCGACACCATGGGTTAAATAAAGTCTGTCAAAAAACCTTTAGATGCGAATTAAATTAGATCGCGCGTCAACTGTGCACCAGCGCAAGATTTATATGAACCGGTCGATGAAAGCGGCGATGGAACAATGATATAGATTTCGAACGTGGGTTACAGCAGCGCGACAGCCCAATCGTCACGGGCAGGTGGGGGGGGGGACGCAGCAGACGCTATGACATTGCGATAGCGACTGTTGTTGCACCGTTCCGCGATACCGCGGTGCAACGTGTCAACAATGCCCCGCGAGCGACGCCGGCGAAGGTTAACTCGTGACTAATGCGTGCCAAAACACTACGAGCCCGAAAACTGACAAAAAATCCAAGCGACTTCCGCGCGGTTACCGGCACGAAGGTCCGCTCAACAGGCGCGCTCAAGGTCCGCATACAATCATGAGTGAATAAATCCGACTTTATGTGGAGGCAGAGAAACGGGTTGCCATAATCAATTTTTTGTCATTACCCGGGAAATTTTACGGATCTGATACTTAATACGTTTGTGATGAAATGGGATTCGTAGCAGTAATTGGTGACGATAGGAGACGACCTTCGCGGTCGCGGTGGGATTCTGTAATTAAGTTTTGCGTCACTCGCGTACAGATGCTTCGAACGCCCTAATATAGTCTCTATTGAAATCCTCGCTACGCACCAAAAGAATAATCCACTTAGCGCAAGATTTCTTAATTCGGCACACTCAGAATCTGAGAATCGGGCAAGCTTGAAATCGCCCGATAAAATCACTCAGACGGCGAAACACTTCTTAGTAAATTATACCTACGCGACCTCTTTTTATCTTTGTTATTGCATTATTCATTCCAGCGATAAAAATATTTGCAATTTCAATAACATACTGCGTTCGACTTATCTCGCAACAAAGGCAAGATTTTGGCGACCGATTTACAATTCAATTGATACCCAAAAAGTAGCGCTCGTCCTATGGAGGCACGGGTGCCTTGCACGTGTTCAACCTTGAAATTCTGACTTCGCACACCCACAAACGACTTCAGTAAGCACGTAGACGGGACTCTCAAAACTCAAAAGTAGGTATTTAAAATCGTAGAAAATTCTACCATTCCTTACAGGAGCCAAATAAGCATAGTAGAATTTCTACAGTAAGCTAATAGTAGTGACATTTAAATGGACCGTTTATTCTTAAATCTATTCATGAGAATTCTGTATTTCCTCTGACCGCCACTATTTTTTTCCCGAATTCGAACCGAGGACCTCGCGCTTAGTGTAATGTAAGGCAACGCTTTCTGCTACTGTGTAAACGAAAAAAATGCCCTCCCCTAATTTGATAAGAACGCACGTGAATTCAAATACATGAACCGTGTACGTTAATGTATTTGAATTCACCTGTATTAAGTTTGAGTGACTTCAATAAATATGTATGCGCGCACAGCGTCGATACCAACATACAGAAAATATAATAAATTGGTATCGATTGAATAAAAATAGTTACAACCTTGAACATGAAGTCATTCTAATTGTTTGTTAGTCATGTCATGTTTTTAATTGTGGCAACATTGAATCTGTTTTTACGTTTGTACAGTCAACAAATAAGTTTAGACGAAAACATAACATGCGACACTATTATTAGTATTAAAAAATACCTTTAATATGATTAAAATGTTTATATTTATTTATATATCCAAGAGGAAAGAGAAATACCAAAAGAGTTAACAATTGCTGCGTAATATGTTGCACAATATTTTTTCACGAGATAAAAGCACATTAACTTTGACGATATTAGCCGTAACGCGGTCGTTTATCAAATGGCCCTACGTCAAAATTCAAAGGTCCTCTTTGAGGCTAAATGACGATTTAGAAACGCAATTCACGTAGGCTTTTAGTCGAAAGTAACGCTAACACAAATTTTCCTTATTTCGGAGAATATTGATAAATATTATGTTTACACGGGTATCGAGAGAGGTTACACAGGTATATCGAGCTTTCCTGTCAATCATGGTTGCTATTAGATCCCCGTGTCTTTGAAATTGATACGGGATCTATCGTCGAATGTAGGAAAAAAAGACATTATTATTTAGGATGATATTATGTAGGCAGTAAACAAGGTACAAGACAAGTACAAGTCTTTGTTGAATGAAAATGACCCTTATGGAATATTTTTACATGTTGTTTAGGCTCTTCTAACAAGAAGGAGCGAAGCTTGGCTATATATACATATATGTATATAACATCTAAATAAGATAGGCAATCGACTTCTTTGAATTTAACTAAAATGCGAAGACACAACGTCTTTTCCATCATCCAATAGAGCCAGATGGAATTACCAAAATTCCTTCCATTAATTTATGATGAGTCTACCGTTTAGAAAAAAATATAAGTAAATGTTAAATTGTGTAAAGCTTTCACGCCCATCGTTCAGCATGTCATTGTCTTTCGGGCTGTTCGGATTCGAAACAATTAATTCTTCGAGCATGATGGACATGTTCGATCATAAAACTATTGCGCTAGATTGAACATGGGACTCCGATAATAAAAAATACGAAATAATTTTTACGGAATTCAAATAAAGCGCGTATATCACACTGCGACGTGGAATCTCTCCACTTTCATTCACTTTCCTCTGCACAGATTATGCACATGCATGCGAGGAATGCGTTATATCGCAGACCGAGTCCGTCATTCAGCACTATCGATCTGCATCAACCTTGACTCCACGCAGCCATAATTAACATTGACAATAGCATCGTCTCGCGGCGAGGACAAGCCAATCGGACGCGTGTACTTTCATTTTTCATGCGCTGTATCACGCCACTTTAAGACCAGAATATGTAAAATGTCTTTATACCTATCTTCTCCCGATTGTAGTAATAAGCCCTGGTTATTAGGCAAAATAAAGTGATACTGATAATAATATTTAATTCATATGTCAATACTTTTAAAATTACTAAAAAGTGTTGTCTGAAGTTTACACATAAAAAAAAATTAACGAATCAAAACAGAGAATACAGTATATTTATTTTTAACTATGAGACGACGTTTTAGATTTTTTCTAGGTGCAGTCAAGAGACGTAGTCTAAAAATATATACTTGTAATCTGTTGAGTTTGTTTGTTTGTTTGAACATAGTATCTCGTATAAGGAACTACTGGTCCCAACCGACTGGTTAGACCATTTATCAAAGAAAGCTTTAGGCTATAAAACATCGCTATCTTAGAGATTAACTCACAAATACCATTTTCATGGGAATAAAATTTCGTTGAAATACTTTATATGGCAAAAAAAACGTTGCCAGGTCATCTAGTAGATGACGTATATTTCACGTCTTACATCGTTAAAGTTTAGGTAGTTTGGACAATTGCGCCACATTTTGGCCCTAAAGCCGCGTAAAAAGTGTCCTAGAGTTGACCCGAGTCGAATAGCAGGTTAGGGACGGCATGGTGAGTCAAGTCGCGGGGGCGGGCGCGTGCATTCGCCGAGATGTAGGTAAACGGAACGCGGAGCCACCGGGGCCTTGCGACCTTGGCAATGTTCTCTACAGGTGGTTTTTGTTTGCACACATTTAATTAGAGATCGCACATTCCCACTGGCTGCTCAACGTCGAATCGTGCGCCGCGCCAATTCGAGCGGAACAAACGCTTCTTTTTATACGTACGCTTCTTTAGTCTCTAACGTTTTCGGGCATGCGATTTGTAAGTCGGCTTTTCAGTTCACGTGAACTGACATTGAGAGTTCGAATAAGCCTTCAATAGCGACGTTATGAATCCGAGACGTGGTAATATTAAAACAAGATGTATTTTTTCACAAAGAATAGGATATTCCATCTAGAAAAATGCTCGAGACTAGAATGGGCTCGTATAACAAGTTTGGAATGAGACGGCCGCGGCGCGCTGTGGTTTTTATAGTGCATAAAATAATGCAAGAATGTATGTGAATATTATATTATTTTTGAAGTGATCAACGTTGTTTCTAACTTACAATAGGTTTGCATGTTACAGTTTATAACATTGTTTTTTATTATCATTAGCTAAAATGACGTAAATTCTTAAGTTATTACATCCGTCCCAAATTTTGGAATTTAAGCAATAAAACAAAATACTTGGTTGGTAGCTGCAAATGTATGGCTAACACAAAAGAAATGTTAATTTGATTTTAAGTAGGTGAAGCGTTTTATAATTCTAATCAAGAGGTTTATTGTCTTATAATTTTTAAAGAACGAACGAACGAACTTTCTTTAAACGAGTGGAAATTTCTCCGCGCCGATAGCGATAACCCTACACAATAGGGCCACTCGGCGACATACGAATTACTTCATAACTTTATAACGAAAATAATGATGTTATCAACCATTTGCTAGCGATTACATAAACAAGACCTTGGCCGTGAGCGTTTCCCCAGGCGTGACGTTACTCGTTCACACCCGCGGCCTACAACAACCGTCCGTCTCTATCTAAACCCGATAACAATATTCTAATAATGGCTGGCGAGCCCACACCTCGTTCAGGAACAGCATTTAGAACGAACGTGGTCTAAAGTTTGCATCCTGTTCAAGAATATATAATACAAGGGGAATTATAATTTTTTTTTAAAAAAAAAAATAAAAAAAATGTGTAATCAACGGCTCGTGAATTAGATACCTACAGGGTCGTGACTGTCGTCACATGAAAAGGCCATCAAGTTTAATCGCGTTTCAGTTTCAATCAGTGGATTTCCGAATATCCAAAGCCAAAATAGACCAACAGCGCATCTTAGTTAGATGTTATGTTATACGCATGTTATCTGGCTGTTTCACATCGAGTGAACCCCGTGCTTGCCTGCCTCCTCTATCAGAAAAAAATACGATATTTTAAGATATTTAAAATCTTTATTCAAACTAGTAAAAAACAAATACTACGTCATTTACTCTGTGATTTGTTATGCGTTCAAATTTAATCTTAGTGTCCGGTTATGTTAGAGTAAAATAATTTTACAACATTCGAATTAAGCATCTTAATTTCTTAAAATCAAGTTAACTGAGGAAAAAATAATTACTGCAGAAAGCAATTAAAGGTCTAGCCTTAATAGTGAGAACAACTATTTAACTTAAAAAAGCGAGCGCATTCTTCTGACACAAAAATGGGTAATTAAGGATGTGATAGAATGCTATTTGACTCTCAGCTGCTCTATAAGGCATGCCTGGTAACATGTGTGAAACAAAGAAAGAAAAGCTTTGCTCTATAGAAGTTATAAATTTACAGGCATCTGATATTTAAGATTGTATGGTAAGTACAATTGAGGCTGTTAGAACCAGAGTGACCTAAACAAAAAAAAAACACGATTTTCAATAAGGAGGACCTAGAATTTGTGTACTTTAATATTTTTAGACTTTAAAATTAAATAAGTCGAGTCATAAAATTGCAGTTAGGCTACTCTGGCTCTAGCGGCCTCAATTATCTCTCCTACTAAAGGTAAAATATGTAACGATAATCCAGAAGATATAATTGTCAGGCAAAGTTACATTAGTTATAAACAATTTAGAACATTAGAATTACAAATGATTGTAAAACCAACGATTACCTACATTCGGCGCTGAATACGCGTAGCCCGGTTGATACAGACGCAAACATATTTTATAACTACCCGCGGAAATTCGCATTTAAAACCAAAAAGATTTATATTTTATTTTGTGCTATATATGTATACGTTAATTACGATTGTTGTCATTATTGTACGACCTGACGTTTCAGCAGCCAAGGCTTTGCAGCAGCCAAGGTCTCTGGGGGCCGACCGGCATATTTCTCACGTAAAACCATTCCAAAATGTTTTATTTGGTAACAAGTATGACTCGCGTAAACAACACACACTGGTTCGCACTTCAGCAATCGTTATCACCAAGAACTACTAAAAGTCCCATTTCATAATTTTGTTAAAATAAAGTGTAATTTGACAGGTTCTTAGAGGTATTTCAAAAAGTTTATTAATAAATTAGCAAACCACATTCCTAACCAAAAATAACGACATGTCAAGAGCGTGTTGTCATTTTCTTTGCCATATATACATGTTTTAAAAACATGAAATTTGTGGTACAATTAAATGAATACGATTACGAGGCATTTAATGTAATAAGACTGCAAGCACCCTGTATATACATACTCGAGTTTAACGTAATTAGTTTTTAAGCACCAAAGTAAGTATTGGCATAAGTGAAGAACAAATTCGAACTAGAAGACCTTGACAATGATACGATCTCGCGCTTGTATAACTACCTTATAAGTAACGAACTCCCGTCCGCATCCGTGCGGAGTAGGTAAGGGCCATTTGATGGCACCTAATTATATTTTATTGTCTTAAGTGGTGTAACTACATGTATGGCTTAAATGCGGTGGTATCGCCACCACCAATGGCTAGAAACCAGCGGTGCTGAATGTCACTCATCAAATGGCATCAAATGGTGGAAAATGACAATTAAAAGTTTTGAATTTAAATAGGGGGCTAAGATGCTTTGCACAAAATAAATCATACGCAACGTTTGTAGTTTATTCAATTCAGTATTTGTTGTTAATAGTCGGCAAAATTATTTTTAACCTGAACGCAAAGAAAATTACTAGTACTTAGGTATATCTATAAATTAATACTAAAGTTTACAAAATGTTAGGTAGCTGTTTAGAATTTCATTTATAATATTTTATCATAGGTCCTTAAGTATCCCTATACACTATAATTTCACTTTCAGATGAAAACTTTACAAATTAAGTATGTAGGTAGGTAGATATTTCTGTTCTGACACTTTAACGGTTTAAACCGCGATATATTAGTTACGGTCACGGAAAAACTCTCCCCGTGACCGCGGCTGCCGCAAAGCATCGGTCGGGCCCAAGTTAAAAATCATTTTTAAATTTTAATAATAGTTTTAAACCTTTAAAGTGTTTTATTTAAATGTGTACTACTCGCGTAAATCATAGACAGTATTTGATATTATACTGATACAAATACGCAATTTTTGCTCGATTATGTTGTTATGTAAAACTTATATACTGTCTCCGATTTAACTAATAATTTAGTATCGACAGCAGTCTTTAATGCCCGTGGAGTCAAACTGGAGAAACCTGGTTGGTCTAAGTTCTTTAAAATCATCTCCTATGCGGGAGAGATGAGCTCACAATTGGGTGAAAAGGTAACCAAGTGTTGTTTATACTAGAAGGTAAAGAAATAGATGCATTTTATTGTTTCGCAATTCTAGATCAAGTATTTAATCAGACCGACATTCTTGCTTCGTTAAGAAGGAAAATATAAGGCGTCTTATAGAATTGTGCAAAATGCCTTCAAAGTTTATATATTTAAAGGCATTAATGACAAAAGATTCTGTAGAATTCTCATTAATTTCAAAGAACCAATACTATTTCAAATTTAAGTCTTATTAATTGATCTAGTAGAACGGGTAGTTGAAATTAAACTAACGTTACTTTTAAAAGCGGTTATAAGCAAAATCTTATAAAGACGCAAGTTAAAATCTTTTACTCCTTGTGATAATATTTCTTCTTTTATTTTACTTCTCATTGGTAACATTATCTTCAATTCTTCGAAGAGCTAAATCGTATCCAATTACAACAGCATCGGTTATTAATTTATTATGTGTTTCAGCGATGAATGCCTATTACCTACCTATTAAAATGTAAGTATTAAATATGTACATACTTTTTATCGTGAGTAATGTACGATAATTATCCTATCAGAAGCTTGCTACTGCTTTTTCATATAACTTACGCAGTCATAAAGTCACGTAGGCACTATCCTTTTTGATTATTCTGTCCGTCTAGATAGACAAACTAACATACATTTAGAGGTTCGGTAAGGCAACATTAATTTGGCGCTTACGAAAGGCGGAATCGAAAGTGCAGTATTCGTTTAGGTGTACAATACCTATCGTCAAATGGGATATTTTAAACGAGTTACCGGTCTCACTTTGGCACGATCTCGACAACCGGTTACATCACCTTGACGTCAATCAAATTGGGGAAATTACTTGGTTATCACAAAAGAAAATGTTAATCGCATCGCACTAATATAATTCAATATCGGGTGTCAATACACTGCCAACCTTGCTGCGCTCTTTACGACTCAGATAAAGACATAGGGCATAAAAACATCAGCTAAACAATAAATCGTCAGTACCTACCCAATACCATAATTGGTAATCGGCTGGTCGATAACGCTTTTATCACTTAGCGTTGCTTCGCTACATTTAAGAGGGTAAACGTAAAAAATGTTTCGCTAAAAACGTCGCCACAGAGTAACGGAGGGATTCGATTTTTAAAAACCGAATCCTGTTTACGAGCTGTCAATTGTTGATGAACGCGGGCGAACGACGCATTTGCAGTGAAAGTTGGGTTACAGCCGAAAAGCGTATGGGGTAGGTCATTAGGTGTCGGGTTTTACAGAGTGCTGTCCGACGCTGGTTGCGGATCGAGCATCGATTTTCAAATGTCGCTGCGGCGACTGATACGCGACGGACGCGAGCAGCGGCGTTGCTCAGACTGCCGCGCCTTGCTCCCCTCTCGCGTCGCACCGCCGTTTGTTTTGCTGTATTTTCGTTGTTAATCATTCTCCTTGACCTTGTGCGACGTAGAGTGGTCCACTGCACACGACTGCGCGCCCCTCGCCCTGACGCGATGCCTGTCGCGACGCATCACACGTGCTAGCGCGCACCAACGAAACAACCACGATGTGCAATAGCACATAGTGAATAGGCCATTTCATGTTAAGGCATTTGCTTTAAAACAGTTTGGTGGGTATATTCTATATCATGTAACTTTTTTTGGATTTAGAGGTTTTTTAAGTTATCATTTTTTTTACTTTAAAGTGGTTTTCTGGCGGCTTTCTCTTTTATTATATTGTGTTAAAAGCATCCCTGCCCATCCTTAAATATTATAGTGTTATTTATTTCTTAATTCAATTTCACATTTAGAACAATATTTAATGATTGAAGTCATTTGTGATATTATATTGATAGTATACATATTTCAGTGTAGTTAATGCAAATCTACATTTAGTTACATTTCCGTCTATGTTGTAGTTGACTGTATTGGCGTTAATAAATGTACCTAGTCAATTACATACATGACGACTGACTAATAATATGAGGTACATTATAGAAATTTCTTTTCATTATAGAAGTTTAAAAAATCATAATATATATATATATATTTATAGATTAGTGAACCAGGTCCTAGTAATCAATAAAACATGCGTAAATTAATCGGTGGCATAAACAAATATTTAAAATATAATTGTGTACAGTGGCGCCATCTACATCAAAAAGATGATTTATTGAAACAGTGCCATCTGCATGTCATTGCTGGAACTAAATTATGTAAGATATGAAAATATTGTATTTAAACATTGGTATTTTTCAAAATTATAGTAATTTAGAAATTTATTGCATTACCTCTTATTAAAACGGACAATACAATGACATTGCAATAATATTGGTGCATAAAACTCTTTCCCAGTCTTACAGTGGATTTTACAATACAGAGAAATTTATATGCATAAAAATATTGCTTTTATATGTGAGAATCAAATATAAAAGCAATGTTTTTGTTTGCTTTTAGAAATGTACTGATTACTTAAATGTTTACATATTTTACAATAGATGTAAAACTGTAGCAAACTTTTTAATTTATCTGAGATAAAATTTTAAAAATAAAACTAGCAGATTTTTGTCCCCATAAGAAGAGTCTATGTATTTCTTATTAAAATCTGTCTTACTGTCTCAAAAAATAGTGGTAAAAAACTCTGGGGGAAAGAATCAAAAAATAACAGGGAGTAAAAATACAATTGTAAGTTATCAGTAGTAAGTGTTTATAAGAGAGCTAATACTTGATAACAGTAACACTTATATTCTGAATCTGTTATTCATTGAGTGAACATTAGGACTACCAATTAATGTATTAATTAAAGGCTTCCTTAATGAGTAGAATCACAGCAGATATCACGGGGGGGTTTTGTTTCACCCCTGCATGGCATCAGCAATAATCAACCTTAAGACACTTCAATGACCGTAAGGAGAGTTTCAAACCAGCTATTAAATACTCCTTGCCTAAGACTGAAATCACTTACCAGATTCTCTTGAATCCATGCTTCCTTTTTAACTTATTTATCACCAATAACACCACTTTGATACAATATTAGTTAACAACGATGAACCTGTCAGTAACAAGGTCGTTGAACTAAATATAACTACAAAACGCTTTTCATCCACCACTTGTTTCTCATAAGCGTAAGAAATGTTATAATGGAACACACACAAAACAGTAATATTCTAGTTCGTTTAACATTTATTTCTCCATTAAAGTGTGTTAGAAAATTTGTATTTTCTTGTTAAAATCTACACTGAAACTATAAAAATATGACAAACCAAAAACACACAGCGTCACGTCATCTAAATGTCATTGAAGAATGAAGATCTGTAGATACTCAATGAAGTCTATGGTCGATTGAATGAAACAATCACTGATTGATGATCGAATGTCGTAAGAAAAAGAATAGAGTATAAGCCTTTTTCTTTATAAATCCACAGAGTAATTGTTGATGTAGTGTATGTCTACGCTGTGTTAATACTTTACTTGGTTTGCCTAATCTGTTTTTGTTACTTTGTTTTTTATTTATGAAACTATTAATTTTCTGTTTCGTGTTTCTACATTATTTTCCGCGTGAAAAGCGATTAGCTTAGCACGTAGTTTAGTTATATTTGTGTAATATATTCCACAGGTTGTGTTCAAACGTCTTTAATTCATTTCAAGCGATTCTTATCAAAATTTAATTAAGTGTTTTTAATTAAGAGAGTAATTATGGAGAATATCGATGATTTTCAATTTCCTCATACATTCGTTTTATTGGGAGCATCAGGTGACCTCGCAAAGAAGAAAATATATCCTACAATTTGGTATTTATACAGGGATAATCTTCTGCCTAAAAATACAAAGTTTATAGGTTATGCGCGAACTAAACAAACTATTGAAGAGGTTCGAGAAAAATCAAGGAAGTATATGAAAATAAGACCTGGCGACGAAAGTAAGTTAGAAGAATTTTGGGAAGCTAATGATTATGTCGCTGGTTCCTACGATAAGAGAGTTGACTATGAGTTGCTCAATCAACACATTAGTAAATACGAAAAAGGACTGGTAGCAAATAGAATTTTTTATTTAGCCGTTCCACCTACAGTATTTGAAGACGTTACGATCAATATTAAGAATGCTTGTGTGTCAATCAAGGGTTATACAAGAGTTATAATTGAGAAGCCTTTTGGGAGGGATGATGTCAGCTCTGATAAATTAAGCAATCACTTGGCAGGACTCTTCAAGGAAGAGCAGCTTTATAGAATCGATCATTACCTTGGTAAGGAAATGGTTCAAAACTTAATGACTATACGATTTGCTAATCAAATATTTAGTCCCTCTTGGAATAGGGAAAACATTGCATCTGTACTCATATCCTTTAAAGAACCATTTGGAACAGAAGGCAGGGGTGGATATTTTGATGACTTTGGCATTATTCGCGACGTGATGCAGAATCATTTACTGCAAATTTTGTCACTTGTTGCTATGGAGAAACCTGTTACATTAAATCCAAATGATATAAGAGATGAAAAAGTTAAAGTTCTGCGTCATATAAAACCAATAGAATTAGATGATATTCTTGTTGGGCAATATATTGGAAATCCAAATGGTCAAGGCGAAGAAAAGTTGGGTTATTTAGATGACCCTACTGTACCTAAAGATTCAATTACTCCAACATATGCTGTTGCTGCTATATATATTAACAATTCAAGGTGGCAAGGAGTTCCATTTATTCTGAGGTGTGGCAAGGCTTTGAATGAAAGAAAAGCAGAAGTAAGAGTCCAGTACAAGGATGTACCTGGTGACATTTTTGGAGGTCACACCAAACGTAATGAACTTGTGGTAAGAGTGCAGCCTGGAGAAGCTTTATACTTGAAGTTGATGTGCAAGTCCCCAGGAATGAAGTTTGATTTAATGGAAACAGAATTGGATCTAACATACAGTATGCGCTACAAGGAAACAGATGTCCCTGATGCTTATGAGAGGCTTATCCTTGATGTATTTACTGGTACTCAGATGCATTTTGTAAGAAATGATGAGTTAAAAGAAGCCTGGCGAATCTTTACGCCAGTTTTGCAGCAACTAGAAGAACAACACAGGAAACCAATCCCATATGTTTATGGTTCCCGTGGGCCACGAGAAGCAGATGCCAAACTTGCTGAGTATGATTTCAAATACTCCGGTTCCTACAAATGGCAAAAACCAACAGCTTCATAAGTATACTGTATTTTAATTTATGGGTGGAGATGGTTTTGTTATTATAAAGCTTTTATAGGTGATAGCATAATATAAAGTGAGTCCAACATATTGTGTAAGTAAACATGACCATAATTAAACATTCCAATTTGATTAGTGACTTGCAGAAATTTCCAAAGGTCATTTTAAGGTTATTGAAGTTTATAAACTAATTCTGATTAAGCATTTCTTTTTTGAACTCAGAATGAATATTTACAATTTTTATAATGTAATTAACAAGGTATGGCATATTAAAATGACATCACAATTTTATTTTATTATAGTTTTTAGTGCTTTCATGCTCCACTGATTATACAGAGGTCAAGTATTTCACCTTCAAATGCACAAGTAATGACTTAACTTTAACTGTCATTGTAGTAACAGTTTACCATTTAGCTGAGATATTAATAATGTAAACTGTAACAATATTATTTTCCTCTATATATAAATGTATTCAAAAATGATGGTGCTATTCTCAATAAGCCTTACAATGTATTAGTTTCAATTGATTTATTTTGCAAATATGAACCCTTTAAACTTTAATGTCAGGACTGTAAATTAATGTATGTGATTTATATTTGTTAATTTACTAGATAAGCAATTTAAACTGTATTGAAAAAAATGATCTGTTGTACTTTTTCGAAATTCTAGCATAATACTTGTCTATATTTTTATATGATATTACATTTTTTATATGCTGAATAGTTTATGCAATAAACTTTAGTATTTGTTATTATAATTAGTTTTAAGGGGCTATCTGAGGTTTTTGACAAATAGTCTTTTCCTATGCTATTTATTTGTGAACAAGAAAATAATTTTGTATATCTACTGTGTTTGCCTTTTACCCTCCATGTTTCAAAATTTCCTGTCTGAAAATTCAAAGTGACATTGCAATATTTAATCAGCACATGTTGCACAATAAGTAACATGTCCTACTGTTAGGTATGTAGTTTATTCACTTTATACACGAAAACGTCATAAATTCAAAATCATTATCTTATTACAACTTTCGTAGTCGAGCAAATAGTGATGTTCTCAGTTCTACTTTGACAATTTTTTTGTATCTTATGTTTTTATCAGTATTGTAGATGATTTTTTCTAATGACCATGATATAGAATATTTCATTTTTATAAGTGATTTTTTTTTAATAATATAAATTTTAAAACGCATGTCACGATTAATTGAGTGTAGGAAAATTTTAACACACTCGAACTGTCAATGTAAAATATTAACATTTTGACAATTGACTGTAGTAAATACGAAACATACGTCGAAAATCGAAATCTTGAGTGTGAAATAATCTCGAGTTTACAAAATATGGTGGTGATGGTGTTATGATTTTGAGAATTGCAAAAATAAATTATCAATACTGGCTTGTTTATACGAAGTCATAAGATGAACTTTTATGTTTTAAACAATGTTTTTTCCAAACGCAAATGATTTCTTGTGAGGCAAAATATATCCAATTATAGATATACTGGGAATCAGATGGCTGTCAAACGTATTTGTGTAAGTGTCTTTGTTTTTAAAATGTTTTACGTTCAATTTTAAGCACGCGATGTTTTTATTTCGCAGTTTAAGTTCAGTTAAATTACATCAATGTAAGTTTCAATCCAATTTAGATTTATCGTTATTGTTTAATAATAATAGTCATAAGTATTAATTACATTGATTCAATACAGGTTTGTGTAAACATTAGAATGTATTATTAAAGAATTGTGATATGCTTGCATTATATTATTACATAATGAGGTGATCTGATTGTTAATATTATTTGGAAATTGCTTTACAAAAACAATGCATGGTGTTTTATCTGCAAGTAGATCCATAAATTTTGTGGTGTTTTGTATATGATTCAATATTCGAAATAAAACTCACAGCAGCTGTCTATAAGTATAATAATTAAATTGCATTTTTAATTTTAATTGCTAACTAATTTACAGATATCCTGAGAGCAATTTCTAAAAAGAGGAAAACATAAAAAAAGTCACAATGTTGTATGTATTTCATGTTGATGCTGGTCTAATGACCACATATGATATGAATCTCACATTGCAGAGGTAAGTATATAATTTTACTTTTATTATTGTCATTAAAGGATCCCACCCAGTCCATATAAAAGTTAAACACATTGTCTTATATTACAAGAAACATTAAAGTTCCTAGATTTGTTTAATCTAATGTAAAATTGTCTTTATTTGAAATGGATAAGTAAAAATTATACACGAATGTATCAAAAAGGGAACAAAGAAATGTCACACTATATATTTCAAACTAATTATTACTTTACAGTGTGGCAAGTCTAAAAGCAGCAATAGAAAGAAAAACAAAAATCCCAGCACATTCACTCGTCCTTCTTGTGAGTGGTGGTGAAGTTCTACAGTCTGATCACATGGTATCCTCTTATAGTGCTGGGACGGACACAAATCCTATTTACATGTTTAGTAAACCATCAGTAAAAGAGAGTCATATTAAACAATCCAGTAAGTATATAAATTAATAACTCAATAAACTTCAAAAATGTGCAGTTGTGTGTTTGATAAAAATTACTAGAATTATTTATACACATGTACAATACAGCAGATTTTTTACTTTGACTGTGTTATTATATTCTATCTATATTACTTTAGGGGACACTAATTAAAAGGTAGGTTGGTGAGTCCCGATTTGCTGGTAAACTTTATTTTAAATTGATTTATTAATATAACAATAAATTACTATGATTAGTTATTTAAAGAATAAATTCTCAATAGAATTAACTTGAAATCTAATCAAAGATTCATAACGAAATCGTTTTCTTTTTTAGTGGTTGGTGATCTGAGTCCCATTGTTGAATTGAGTACTGGTGAATTTCGTAGTGACTCTAGTGCCTTTGATGGAAAGTCAGTGGCTGAACTACGTAATGCTGTAGAAGTGTGTTGTTCAATGCAGCCAAATGTCAGCACAGTGACGTCTTGTGCCGGTTTAGCTAAGCAGTTTAGCGATTTAGCTCATGATGTGTCCAGAAGTTGTGAGCAGCTTGTCCACGAGCAGCATTTGCAACATCAGGTACATTAAAAACAGTTTCAGAATAAGTCTACGAGTAAAATAAAAAAAATATATTAATTTACTTTACTATATCTAAACAATTCAAATCTATTTACATATCAATTTGAAGAATAATTAATTTTATCGGATAAAGTAATAGAAGTGAGTTGGATCAAAAAGTTTCATACAGTAGTTTTACCAATGAAGCTATTGTACTGTCCATTCATCATCATCCATTCAAATCATCTTTTTATCAATGTTTATGCACCTCTGGTATAATGATATATATTGTATAATTTAATTATGTAATAATTATAATAAATTAATTGTTGATTATGTTATTTCTTATCCTAGGGATGGGCAGCTGTTGTAGCGAATTTAGAAGATATATTTCAAGAGTTTTGTGAGAGATCTCGTAGTTTCAAAGAATCATTTAAGAAGCACAGAATTAAGAAAGAGGAATACCACGAATTGTTAAATACGTAAGTGTGAATTAAAGTGTGTTATTATTATTTTCTTTCGGGACACCAATAGAAGGCCGGGTGATCAGTCCACATCATCTATCAACCATTTCTCTCATAAAGTATATTATACTGGTATGATAATTGCAGTTCATTGTAAGCATATTATAGTGTATATAAATTCTAAACTGTAACAATTATAATGATAAATTTTTCAATATGTTGTATTTAATACCAGAGGAGAACTCATATGTCAGGTGTTAATAGCATGAGTTTTCTCTTATGTTTCATAAAAAACATCAAGTCGATACTGTCTTAATTGAAACAAGGAAGTTACTGCAAATATTTGGTAAACATATTTATAAGATAAGTTCTTATTTACCTTCTGTATTATACAATTGTTGAAGGTTAAACGAAGTACTAGAGTCTCTGGGCAAGATTCCAATATTATCAGCACTCCAGTTGCACGCTGAAGCGCATCGGTTCTCAGCATTTGATGTTTTCGAGGAGACGGACTTCGAAGGCCACCACTATGGAAGTCAGCAGAGGTCCGACACCAGCTCGGAGAATAGAACGGCCCAGGACTTTGGAGTTGGAGTGTTCAAGTTGTCCGATGAAGATGGTGAGTTTACTGTTTTACGTGGAGTTATTTGTAGTAGTATTGTTTTTATAATCCTTTTCCGTATACTTAATATTAATTACCTTTTTTGTTGTAAAACATTAAGTAAATTAATATCAAAAAGCATTTTCAAGTGATACTGTAGTATTCCAACTAGGGAATGTTTTGTCTAAATAATTAACATTTCCTATATATCTTTGCCTCACCGGACCGCCTTTGTAGCTAAATGATTTAACGTGTTGCCCAGCATCGCGTTAAGCGTGAGAAGTCATGGGTTCGAATCCCTGGAAAACAATAGATTGTTTCGGTCGGGCAGGTCACACAACCTAATCAACTACTTGCCCGTAGATAAAACCGATCAGCAATACAGACACAAAAATGTGTTCGCCCCGATGCCCCATGGGGCATTTGACTTTATACTTTATTAGAGAAGATTTTTATTACTTACTTATTAATCTAAGTATATGATAACATGTACGAGTAATTAAAAAGTGTTTATGTTCATATTATTAATAGCTTACTGATTGGATATACTAATATTCATTATCATTAGGAAGAAATACATTTTACATATAAAAGCCATTTAATGGGTAATCTATACTAATATTATAAATATGGAAGTAACTCTGTCTGTCTGTCTGTCCGGCTTTTACTCCGAAACTACATAACTGATATAAATGAAATTTGGTACATAGATATTTTAGAGTCTGAGAAAGCACATAGGCTTATTATATTTCCAAAAAAGGATTGATAGGGGTTGAAAAAGGGGATTAATAAACATCCTCAATAATTAAAAATTCTACTCCAAGTCACTTTTCCACGCGGACAAAGTCGCGGGCACAGCCAGTAGGTACATAATTATATATATATAATGTAATACATAACTCTTAATAATAGTTGAGTCAATTGTAGTGTGCAAAAGATAAAAAATAGCAAACACAATTATTTTACTCTATGACTCTAATATCCTGTTAGTAACTTCTTTGATTAATGCAATTAAAGTTAGTACTATGTAGAGAAGTAAGATTTTTTTGTTAGAATAATTCATCTGATGTAGATATTATCTATGAACGGTGTATAAATAAACAAGATTTTATGCGAGCATGACTTTGTAAATTGGAAATGGACTCTCATGTAATGTATTTGTTATTTCACATACCAAGGTTACATTACTGCCAACATTCCTTTTAAAACTTACTGTACTTACTTAGTACATGTCGAGTGGTAGTCTTAAGGTTTTAGAGTATATTTATTCAAACTCAATCCTTTTTATTGCCCTTTACTTAATTACTAATTTATAAAACTTTAAAGTACTAAATGAAATATAAAAATGAATAAAATATAGATAAGAAAATAAAAATGGCAATCCGTACCAGTCTCGGCTGTGCTGCTGAATGCTTCTTACACTCAGCAGCGCTGGTTAAAGGAGACTTAATATCAATAGAGTAGAACGGGGCCATTATCGCTGTCATTCCTTTTAAATTTTTACAACAATCCCAAACATTGCTAACAGAAGTCGTTAAAAAAATAAATTATTTTCTCGAAAGTACCTAAACAAAATCATTCTCCATTCGTCCATTATTTACTTCTGTATATTTCAGTTTTCGAGCAAAGAAATCCATCCACAAGCAACGAAGAAGGTCCAAGTGAGCACCAGATAGTGGAATCAGATGAAGGGATTACCTACAAAGCTCCATCTGTCGAGAGCAAGGAGGAACCTACACTATTACATTGGATCCTTGCTCAAGGAAATAAAGCCTCCTTACAAGATATTCTTGATTACTGCCAGAAAGCACTAGCTTTGGTAAGTCACTTATAAAGTTAAATAAATACTTTAAGATTCTAGTTAGTATTCTCGTCCTTCCATTGTCAAGGATGGTGTTTCCGTAGCTATTCGAAATGACTTCGTAAGATGTAGAATTTATATATGGCTGTGCCTGCGTCTTCGTCCGCGTGTTACTTACGGCTCTCAAAAATGAATAATTTCCCCGCTTTCTGTAGATAAATACACAGTAGATACTTCACTGTTTCTTCGCTCTCATTAGTTGCTACGTTATATAGCCCAAAGCCTTTCTCGAAAATGGCCTATCCGATACAAAACGTTAGTTTAAATTCGAACCAGTAGTTCCAGAGATTAGCGCGTTCAAACAACCAAACTCTATAGCTTTATAATATTTTTTTTATTTATTTGTTATTCTAATTATTCTTCTTTAATTAATTATTATTTAACATTATCGACAGAAACAATTCCTGACATTTAGTCTTTTGTTTTTATGTACTTTGTATTGACATTTACTTAACACGACATATATAAATCACTTTTGACTTTGATTGAGGCATATAGTCCATTGTTTCTAATTGAAAGACGAATACGTTTTTTTGTTTTAATGAAATTGGTATCCACTCCGGCCTTTAAGACTTATTTAACAATAATTACAGCGGCCTTGTACTTCAAAAAGTACATTTTCAGCCAACTAAACAGAAAAATGAAGTTTAATTATAAGTATGAGTGAGAAATTAATAATAATTAAGTAATAAAACATGCTTGTTATTGTTCGACATTATCCTTAACTCGACAATTAATTGTAGCTCAACAGTATTTATATATATTATATGTCTTACTATTCTGATTTTACGTAAATATAGTTATTGAATTACCTATTTATATTTCTTACACGTTCGATTTTAGAACGTGTTTTAAATTCACTTGTGAATGTAACATACGATATTATAGCTCAATCTTTGAATTAAATACAATAAAACATGTTCTCCATATTCGTTGATAGGACCTTGAACATGAAAATAAACAAACAGTATAATTACATTTTAATGTATGTAAAACATTTATATTAAAAGGCATTGTCCGTTCCATCGCCGCGATTTACGGCGCATAGAAATAAACTTGGTTATATCAATAATACGAGTTTTATCAAAATGTATACTATCAAATTGTGTTTTAAGGTTAATAGAGTGCGAAAATATCACGTGCTCTACGCATGGCTTGGTCCGTGAATATATTTATAGTAGTCATGTTGCTAGGGTCGATGTCTAACGAAATGTATAGTTACGCCTACTACCACCGACAAGTTATAGGATTGGTTAGAGATTTTATGATAGACAACAAATAGCTAAAATTCAAACACTGTTAACGGTTCGAAACGCGAAATATGTGAGTAACGTAATTTTTTATTATTCTTAATATACTTGGCGGGCTCGTTGGTGTTACTGAAAATGAAACGTTAAATTTTAGAATATAAAAAAACAACCTTTTTTTAAATACTTTTTTAAAAATAGTTTACGCGGGTAGTACACATTTATATAAACACTTTAACGGTTTAAAACGCGTGACCGCGGCTGCTGCATCCGAAATGTCGGGTCGAAGTTAAAACTCATTTTCAAATAAGTTTAACTAATATATCGCGTTTTAAACCGTTAAAGTGTTTTATTTTTACCTTTTGATTCCTTTAAATGAAACATTTTAACGGTTTAAAACGCGAATATATTATTTGGTAATTATTTTAACTACGGCTCGACATTTCGGATGCTTTGCAAGAGCCGTAGTCACGTGGACTTTAGGTGTTTTTCATTTCAATTCCATGTACATAATATGGAGGTTTAAATATGAAAATAATATTCCAGATCGACGCAGAGCCACTAAAAGAGAGCGAAGCCCAACTGTACCATATTCTAGAATATGCCAACATGCATGGACTGAAACAGATTAAAGGTATAGAAGACAGACTATACGGTCTCGATCAGCTGTTAAATGACGTCAAGAAACTGGAAAAAGATCAAAGGGACCAAGCCGCTTCTATAGTGCAAGTAAGAAAAAATTACTTCCCTCATATATGACATGTGTTTATAATAGCTTTTTTATTTATAACATAGCCTTTCAATGTGTTTTTTATGATATAAGATAAGGATAGAAAAGCATGAGGATCCCCATGCTATATATCTCTATCTAAACAAGATTTGTTGTTGACCTATTTTGGCTTTGGAAATTCGGAATTCCACAGACTGAACTTAAATCGCGGTTAAACTCCGGCTTTTTATCTGTGTAATTTCCATATAGATCATCAATAAAGTCCCAATGTTACAGTGTTTGCGCGTAAGCTCTCTATAAAACGGCTGAAGCGATTTCAATGAATTTTTTTTATATACATTTCTTATGCTTATGGTTTTTATATCTATTTTTGCCTTTATACTAGTATACTACAGACACAATCATAGTTTAGTTCTTTGTCTACCGAATTATTCTTTATATGATAGAAGAACATTAGCTGTGTCAACTAATACTTATCTATTAATCTATACTAATATATAAAGCTGAAGAGTTTGTTTGTTTGAACGCGCTAATCTCAGAAACGGGTTCGAATTGAAAAAATATTTTTTGTGTTGGTTAGAGCATTTATCGAGGAAGGCTATAGGCTATAAAACATCGTGTGGTGACTGTAGACGCGAAGATATAGCGCAATAGTGAACAAAACGAGGGAAATTTTTCTTCACGTTTCACGTGCGTACGTTGCGAAAACGGTTCAAGAAACCTAAAAAATGTGTATGAAAGAACGAATCCCCTTTAAATGATCTAAAAAAAAGACCGCGACGCTATATATCTATCTTTTAAGATTAACTTGCAAGAACGACGGGAAGGGACGCGATCGACGTCGTGATTAAGTTGGATGCCCAAAATAACGATTCTCGCGGACTAGTCGCTGGTACAGCTAGTATTTTTATATGATAGATAGACATATATTAGATTTAATTACTTGTTCTTATGTTGTGTTTTGAAGTAACGTTGTACTATATATACATAAAAGTACATAAATGCAACACCTTAATACGATACATATCCTTATTTTTACAGTGTCGTGACCGTCTCAGCTCAACATACGACCCGACAGTTCTCCCAACATTAGTTCAATCGCATTGTTGCCAGTTAGAAAAACTTTTAGTGGGTCATCAGAAAATCGTCGACATAATTAGAAGAATCGCTAAGTCGAAGGAGGAATTGTCACAAGTTTTAAAAGCGCGTTTGGAGTAAGTATATTTTTAATAAGGGTATAAATACTACAGAGGAATAAACAGTTTTTAACGGTTTAGACGCATAATAAGCAAATGCTTCGCAACAGATCCCACGTATCAGATATTACACGACGGTCGTGGCTAAAAATAAGTTCAGTCAGTTAATATATTCTATGTTAAAAGCTATTTTATCTTCTGCAAAAATCAGATTTTTTTATATTCCGCCTTAAATCGTTTTTTTTTGTTTATATTTACAGTTACATTATAATTTATATTGATATGTATTGATATCATACAAAACACAATATATAGATACTATAGTAAATTGAAGATCTAGGTACAATAAAGTTTCAAAGACAAGTTATTAAATCTACTTTATTCCACTTGTATTTATTTTTCTTTTTACGTTATTTCAGAGCAATACTACGTATAGAGAACTCAATGTCAGTTCAAGATGCGCACGCGATGCTATCGTTTCAATGTCTGAATCGTTTGTCCCGTTACTTTGGTATCGTGTGGCAATTGCATCGGGCACCCGCCGTTTTTGTACGGGCTGTACACGAAGTGGCGAGGCGAAGAAGCTTCTCGGAGGCTCACATTAAGGTAAAACTTTTTTAACCAACATGGACAAGCTTATATTTTTCAACATATAAAACTAATTAACATAAGGATAAAGAATAGTATCAATAAATATAGCATATTCTTTGCTTAAGTTGAGTTGATGTGCTAAATAAACAATATACTTTTATTTCACAGTGGGCTACAGACTTAGCGGAAAAACTTCTAAAGATCCACGAAGAAGAAGTGAATCGGCGCCAAGAGTTCAATACTCTCTTCGAAGGTCACTTCCTCAGGAGTTTGTTCCCCGGTATGGCAGATCTTCCCCCACCATTTGCGACGCAGGCGCCGCTACCCTTTGACGTGAAATTGCCGAAACTCACTAATGAAGATGTTGAATTCGTATCTAGCACATTTCCGGATGTCGCTAAAGATATACCCAAATACGATATGGAAGGCACTGTAAAATTCTTTCAGCAAAGGTAAGACACGTTTACTATTTAAATAAATGGAGTTATGGCAGGCATGGATCGATCTTCAGAATACGTGTGAAGTGACTAAATTGTACTGTCTATACTTTACGCGAGTAGTACACATTTAAATAAAACACTTTAATGGTTTAAACGCTATATATCCCTGGGACTACGGCTGCTGCAAAGTATCCGACGCGTCGGGCCGAAGTTAAAAATAATTTTCAAATAAGTTTATGTAATATATCGCGTTTTAAACCGTTAAAGTATTTTATTTAAATGACTAAATTGTATTCAATAAGAGAATGGAACTAAATCTCTTAAATGATGGATGTCTTGTTTTAATGGTCGGTTTGACTTAACTGCATTTTCTAAGACTTCCAACCGATGGATAGTGATTTGAATAGTATTATTCCATATAATTATATCTTGAGAATAACTCATTGTATAATTTCTTAGGTTATCAATATCAGACCATGAAGAAAGAGACGTCGATGTACAAGTAGATCTTGATAAGTAAGTGTAAATTAATAAGTAAAATATATTCCGTTATCTGTTATCAAACAATTGAACGAATGAGCTAAACTCTTTCTCGTATCATTGTACAGGGATTTCGAGTCAGACGCGGACTTTGAGAAGTTGGGCAGACAAAGCGCTTCGAAGCAGAAGATAGACATCTCGACGACGTGCTCACCCGACACCGTGGCCGTGTCGACCGTGACCGAGGTAGTGACCAAGATTGACCGTGACCATGAGTTCGTGAACTCTGAGTTTTACATCGACGAGTCGCTGTCCGCCAGTCTGGAGTGGGGCCGCGATGGACAGGTGCATTAACTTGTTCGCCGCTCAGATAAGATACGGGGAAAGCGTAGTCTTAAAGTTTTGGTAGAGAAATATCATTTAGATCCATTCCTTCGTCCATTGAAGTTCGTTGTGTATACGTAAATTAACTACACTACGGTTAAATGAGATTTTACAATACAAAAAATATTTTTAACAAATCATAACCGACTTTAAACAAAAAAATACTTTGCACAAAGTAATTAGTATGATGAATGGTTTAATAATTTTTTATACTCTGGAAGTCGGTGCCAAATAAACCAAAACGACGTCGGTCTTTTAAAATATTGATTGTATATATACACCATGGAAATATCTATATTTCAATAAAAATAGAATAATAAAAATTGGTTCAAAATAACTAAAAAAAACTTTAATAGCACTAGCACATAATCATGTTTCTAGTTAATTTGTGCACTTTACTGGTATGTCGAGTGATCGAAAATCATAATAGATGAATAAAAAAGTACTAATGTTTCATTTGTAATAAACAAATAGTATCTTATCTGAGTGAAGATTCAATGATTATGTTGTAGATTTTTGGTTGCTCCTGTCTTCGTGGCCCCATGTAGATAGTATAATATTTATGTAATCAGCAATATTAGTGCTTAGTTAGTTTACTATATGTATGTTTAAAATGTAGAATATTAAGCTAAAAATCATTTCTAGATTAAAAAATAAATTACGCCTCGGGCAGGACTTGAACATATATTGAACATTAATACGCAAGTGTAAAGGTTGAAATTACATTGTTTGAAAGGTGGATGTTGAAAACAATTAGACGATGACGTAGGTCAATTAGTTAGAGCAACAACTGTGGATGCGGGTCAAGTACTGCCCGAGTCGTAAATTTAAAAAAAAATCTAAAATCGTATTTTAATATGTATATATAATGTTCAATAATATATGAAAAATATCAAAGCTTTCCCGTGTAGAACATTCAAATAAGTAGCGTAATAATATTTAACTTTTAGGATAACATGGACACGCATAAATTCAACATAGAAAAACTACAAGATTTCTTACTAAAACTATGCACTTTGTGTAAAGTGAATATCGTTCTAATAAAAGAAGAATTGATGAAACTTAAGAGTGATTCAGAAGAGCTGAAGAAATATATGAGTGATAAATATCAAGAAGCAACCGAGAGTTGGATCAGACATAACGAGGATACGCAAGAACGTTTCCGAGAAGAGAAACAGAGGTTGATGGTTGATCACGAGCTGGAACTCAGTGATATCAGAGCGGCTCTCAGCGAAAAAGATCAAATAATCGAAGCTTTGAAGCGGGAGAAGGAAGAATTGAAGAACCAACACCAAAAAGAATTAGAGAGCGCTGAAGCAGAACATAAAAGTACAAAAGAACTGCTAGAACAGTCTAGAGTGGTGATTAAAACGCTAGAGGGTAAACTGGACGATGCAGAGATACAGAAGTCTAAAGTTATTAAGGAAGTGCAAGAGAAGATGCATCTTGAGTACAAAGCTGAGATTGAGTCAATGCGATCGAGGTACTTGTTTTGCTTAACTCTATCTAAACCGTTACTTTGAATAGCTTGTAACAAAATGAATACGAATGCCCCGTACTTTGTTTTAATTTTGATTTGTTTTTAAATGTGAAATGAAACAATATTTCATTTAATAATGGGTAATTTTTTTAATGGTTGAAAGGATAAATTAAAAGAGACTATTACACATATGAAAGGCAAGACTTTCTATAAACTTTTCTAAACATATGTACGTGTACGTACGTAATACTTAGAGTATACGCTGATTATAAATAAAACTCATTTCTTACAGGTTCCGACTTGTTGCCCTAACAAACAATATGGACAGGTCTCCATCGGAGTCCAGTCTAGAAAAGATAGAACGCACAGACGTAATAGAGATAGGTCACCACAACGCTATTGTGATGCAAACGAAGGAAAACGCTGAGGTGGAGAAAGAACAGGCTCTTAAAGAGGCGACGGATAAATGTAAAGCCGAATGGGAACAGAAAATGGGCGCTGAGATCACACTGCTTAAGGCGAAGTATGAGGCTGAAAAGCAAGTTAGTATTATATAATTTATGTATAACCAATTAACATAGATTGTGGTGGTATTTTTAAATTATACTCTTTCTAAAAATTGTTGAGCTTTGTCTGGAAATCTGGATATTAAATGGGCGCTAGGAATATCGAATATGCCGTCCGGCTCACGAACCACCGTCCACAGATAAAAAAGCCGTGGATCTTATACCTCGTTTCAGTTTTGCTAAGTAATTTGTGGATGTGCTAAGACAAATAATTTATTTCCAGGTGACAATAAATGACGTGACTCGTCGCTTGCTGTCAGAAAAGGACCGCCAATTAGAGTTGCTTCGCGAGAGAGAACAAACCTTAATTCGGGAATGTACTAAATATCGCGAAACTATACAGCAACTAACCGATCCGGAGACAAATGACTACGATAGCCTGCTTAAAACTCAGGTATGTATGGCTTCGAAAATTATTATATTAGCGTTGTCTCTTTCCCGCACTCACAAAAGAGTGGGAGAACTACTTTGGCGGCATGTTTCCTCTATTCTTTCTCTAAAGTCTAGATTATTGATCCAAAAAGTTTTATTTTCTACCCAAAGTAGCCTTTCAGTTTTATCAAATACTTTATTTACAAATATCGTCACTATTTACACTTATTATTCCGCAAGTATTTATTATTTATTATGTTTACCTTTTTCAGTTCGCAACCCTTGAAAATGAGAAGGCATTACTGCAACAGCAAGTCGCAGATCTCAAGAAAGAGTTGGAAAAGAGAATAGAAGAGGGAGATAAGAGTAGAGAAGATGATAGCGAGGGCAGGTGAGAACATGTTCTACGCACATTTTAGTATAATCTCATACTATAAGTAAGTAGCTATGTCCTGACACCTATTGACCTTTAGGTGGCAAATGACAAATATTTTTATAATAACTAATACTATTAAATGTTATAATTAAAAGGAGTAACCGATATTAATATACACTTTGGGATTCATTTAATTAATAAAGAAGAGAATTAAGTGGGAGGTGAAGTGGTGTACTAGGAAAAAAAAAATACATATGATTATTCCTTTAATTGTTTTGGCATATATGTTTTGATTCAATTTGTAGGTGGGGGAAATCTAAATTGGGTTTATAGTATTTACATTACAGGCGCCGAATGTTAGCCATTTTTGCATTTATTTTCTTTACTTAGCACAAGTTTTTGCACATCATATTATGCAATCTGTTGTATGGGATCTAGTTATACTATTTCGATTTATAACGAATGTATGCAATTATTAAGTATGTACAATATGTTTGAAAGTTGACATGTGATTTTCTAACTTCAATATTAAGTTAATCGAACAACACAAATACTATCTTTTATATATTAACACAGTACTGAAGTACTAACACGTGATAACTAGCTTTATTTTGTATTGTAAAGTAGTTAGTAGCTATTAATATTAACATATTAATAAACATTTCATCAATCTTAGCTGATGAGGTTTACAATAGTTGTGTAGAAGTAATTTTTCATTTTCATTATATAATTTTTTAATGGAAATCATGAACATTTTATTTTATGTGACCAAGTAGTACAGTTGTGCGCTATGACATACTGAATACAAATGTGTGTATTTTAAGCTAAGTACTATTGCTAAATAATCTGTGTTTTTGCAATAAAAGAAGTCCATCTCACATTATTATTTTTTTGTTTTTATCCCACTTCTGATCCACCTAGTCTTGCATCCTTTTTGCATGTTCTCCATTTTTTTATTAGTGTCATGGTTTTTTACTGCACAGAATAAATTAATGATTATGAATGCTAAGTAAATAAATGTTAATGATTTCACAAGACCGCCAACGGCACGTGATCCGTCGCATGGTCTGCTTAAATAAACACGCTGTTGAAATGAATCATTAATGAGGTCACAGTGCAAAGATCTTTAGAGTTCGTTGATAATGACATGTAAATAATATGATGGACAGATTTCCTTGAGTGATCAAATAGTGCAAGTCTTTCCACTTTCTGACTATTCAAGTTGATTAATTTTTTTTACGCGGTTGAAAACGGAATAATATAATACTGTCTGTAGTTTACGCGAGTAGTACATTTTTAAATAAAACACTTTAACCATTTAAAACACGATATATATTAGTTAAACTTATTTGGAAATCACTTTTAACTTCGGCTCGACGTTTCGGATGCTTTGCAGCAGCCGTGGTCACAAGGAGACGTGCGTTACACATAACACAATATATGTCGCGTTTTAAACCGTTAAAATGTTTTATTTAAATATGAATAATGCATTAATCTTTATTCGTTTGATATATCTAAGTATAAGCATACATTCGCCAAAAATGATATAACTTTAATCTGGAACCAATATACAGATGTTTAAATCTCTTAACAAACACATAATAAATAGAAAATCACAACTCGGTGTCAAATACAGAACAAAAAATAATGAAAATATATTTGTTACGTACCTGTTACACGAAACGGCCTACATGTCTAGCATAACTTAACCTAAAAGTAACTATGGAGAATGCGAACTTCTTTTTCAGATCCTCGTCACCCAAAAAAGAAGAGGGAAGAAGAAGTAGAATACGCTGTCACACGCCCTTGGGTTTGTCTGCGGGCGCCCTTAGTCTATCGTCTTGTCTGCCCGGACACACGGTATTTTTACTTTGGGATCCAGCGCATCTCAACTATACTGTACTGCAGGTTAGTCTGATTGATCTGTAATTTTGTAGCTCATACATATTATCCAAATAGGATGAAAGTCATAGTCACCCCCGTTTTCATCCACATTAGTTGGTTAGCCACAGTTGGAAACGCGTCCAGTGTTCGGCTAGTGCATATGGGCCCTTAGACTTGTTCAGTAAGGACATCGCTACAACTCATCACGTAAAGCACTTACACTTTACACTTACACGTAGTACAGTAATGAAATAAATACTAAAGTAACTTCTGTTCTTTAAAATCGAATAGAAAACATTTTTAACTTAGAAAACTCAACTGTTCTAATTTCCTCCGTCCGTTTTTACACTTACCAAATTACGGATTTTTATCAAAGTTGTCTTTTGTGTTTTATAAAAAAATCCATATAGATGTAATAAATTTACCAACACGGACATTTGGACCGGCATTTTTTTTTCAATATTAATTGATTTTAATACATATATGTTATTTTATACAGGAAGCATCAATAATGTACTTCGTCCATAGTGATTGTCTACCTGCTCTAGACCTGAGCATAAACGTGAAGAACGAAAACGAGAGACGTTTATACGCTGTTGCCACTGTTGAATCTAAAGAGTATTGTTATGCTAAGAAGGTTAGTCTTCACTATTTATTCTCCAGACAGGTATTTATTTAGCAAGACAAGTCTGTGTTCGTAGGGTTAATAAAAATAACTGATAGAGGAGAATGTATATGAGGTTGATGATGCATGCTATCTTATCAGAGACATATGTCTCCTCTGCGCCTCAAGAATGTAAAACGAAGATGGACTTAATGGTCTAAAGATAGAAATATATAGCGAATAATAAATGGGCCATGGGTTTGATCCCCAACGGATGTATCTAATCCATTTACAAATTTTCTAAAACATGATTCTATAACATTAGACTTCGAAATAAAACTTGTAACTGTTTAAAACACGAAATATATTAGTTAACCTTTTTTACGTGAGACCTGACATCTCGCGGTATTCGTCCAAAGCTAAAATAGGTTAACAGCGCGTCTTCTTTGGTGTTAAGAATGGTGTACACTGCTTGATAGGTATAGTTATATATTCCAGAACGGCAACCGTTTTCACATGCCACGAGGTTCGCGCTTCTACAGGGTAAGAGTGAAGCCGATGAAGCCCCACCCACCCCATCCACAATGCTGTGATCATAGACATAAGCAAGGTAAATTTAATAAAAATATATGTTATCTGTAAATAATAGTGCCTGTAGGAGATACTACCCAAATAGATCTTAGTTTCAGCAATGTAAAGCTATAATTTACTTTTAAAGGTGCTGCCTTTAAATTAATAAACATTATTCGCTTTTAAATAAAACACTAACGGTTTAAAACGCGATATATATTAGTTAAACTTATTTGGAAATTATTTTTACTGTAGTACGACGTTTTGGGTGCTTCGTAGCAGCTGTGGCCACGGGGAGGCTGCCCGTGGTTAAAATTATTTTCAAATGAGTTTAACAATTATATATCGCGCTTTAAACTGTTAAAGTGTTTTAATTTAATGCGTACTTCTCGCGTTAACTACAGATAGTATCAAACATTGTTTGCTATTTCAATAACATGTATTCCATTGATATAATCAACTTGTTTAGACTAATGGGTAAATATAACTTGAATTACATCCTGCATTAAAATCAATTGAATTCAAAGACAGCACCTAACTTTAGTTGATTTCAATTGCCCTGTGTTAGTTTTCTCCTTAAGTTAAACGCATGTTTTATACGATAATATGAGACCAGTTTTTCTAGTTAAAAGCAAAGTACACATTAAAATTTTAAGTCACTAAAAGAGTAAGTAAGAGAAGGACAGACAAGCATAAAATTCATTTAATGTTAAGTGAAATACACTAGCAACAACATCTAAACAAGATGTGTTTTCGACCAATTTGGCTTTGGATATTCGGAAATTCACAGATTGGTACCGAAACGCTATTAAACTTAACGGCGTGTTAATCTGTGGTCGATGGTTCGTGACCAGTTTTTCAAAGTTCAACACGTTTCAGAGAAATTGTAACTTAAACAGAAAAATGTTAGACACGTTCATTATTAGCATACATCGATACCATACCAATGAGCCAGAGCAACAGCACAGAAAGCTGACGATGCCGGTTCAAGTTCAAGCCCTAGTGGTAAATTTTTTCAATTTATTTTCGATTTTTAAATTGTATAGAATTTAAAAATCGAAATATTTTCAATATAAAGGCATAATTCCTTAGCAATTTGTATACGGAGCGGAACACCTTGTCCACTTACCTACACTTAGAAAAGCTTCAATAACACTTTGCTCCAGGCTAGACCCAAGTCTCACGTTATCGTGTACATTAATAGATGCGCACGCGTTTGCAGATGCACTAAAGGACAGCGTCATCTCCGCACTCGATGCCAAGCCGCTCAAGAAGTGGCTAACCTACATGCATGCCCCAGGTCGTTGCTTTTATTCATATTTAGTTGTCCCTTTGTGTTAATTGTGCTTTTCTCCCAATCACCACATTTAATTGGTGCACTTCATGCTTCGATGCAATTGTAGAGTAGACCTTGTTATTCTATAAAAATATCCATACTAATATTATAAAACTGAAGAGTTTGTTTGTACGCGCCAATCTCGGGAACTACTTGATTGAAAAATTATAATTGTTACGTTTGGACCATTTATAGAGGAAGGCTATAGAACAGGCTGCGACGACAAGAGCGACGAAACAGTGGAAATAACGGGAAAAATCTTTAAGGGTTTTATTTTAATTAATAATCTTAATGTCCATGATAGTATAAATCTATTTTTTAAGATTAACTCAGAAGAAGCATTTTTAAGAAATAATATAATAGTAGTGAGCGAAGTTTGGTCAAAATGCTTTATTGCAACAGTACGTTTGCCAGATCAGCTAGTTTATTATTAAACTTAAATAAAGTATAATACAATACAAATGTTTGTATTAAAGAAAGTATTTTAATTTTAAAGTCAAGTAAAATTTTTTTTGTTGTGGTTTTTTATACCTTGGATTTTCTGAAGTTACTTTAAGCTGTCAGACTATAAATGGCATCTCTATCAAACCAGTTTTCTAATTGCCATATAGCTAACTGCAGTACTCAATTCTTCACCCATCACCAATGATGTTTAAAATATCGTGCTAATAAAAACTTGCAGACACCCAAAAGTCCGTAGACACGAGCCAGTCAACGAGTTCGGCGACGGATGATGCCAATAAAGTTGCTGAAGTCGCCACCGCGACGCTCATCAACTTAGAGTCGCCGGTTTCCTGTAGCGATACGACCCCCGCGCCCCCGCAGTCCGATTTGGATCAGCTAGATTCCATAGAGTCCAGTGAACAATGGCACAGCACCAAGATGCAGGTGTCCACAGCCAGTGCTTTGTAAGTATTGTCTATAGTTTAGTGAGTAGTACATTTTTGAATATATTTAAAGTTACTTAACTGAATGTGATTAATTTATACCCCCCTTTGCAAAGCCTACTTCAAAGCATTTGAAATGTTGGATCGTAATAAGTTGACTAACCTGTTTTTTGCGTATTGCCCGTCTTTTTTTTATTAAACTTTTAACGGTTTAACTGTAAAGATTATCGAAGAGTCAAATTGTTAAAAGCACTTTAATTTTTATTTTAAGTAAAATATTTAAAGTAAAGGGCAGACTTCCTTTAGATTGAAAGTCGTTTATAAATTTAACAAAATTTACGACACGAGCAGGACTTGAACCGCAATCTACAGCTACCGTGTCTGCCCTCATTTGTTTCTTTAAAGTTAATCATGTAGTGATGTAAAGTAAACAAAATATGTCACTTTTCAGAACGGATATGGAGTGCAGTGTAGGCAGGTGTCCCGGTCCTGAACCCCTGGAACTTACAGTCAGTTCGGTGTCAGTTGTGGCTCGCGGCTCAGCGCCGCCCGGATCTGAGCTGGCCGAGGAAGCAACCCCCTGACGACCGCACACCTTACACTTGCGGCACTCGCACACGAACTAACAACGTTGATGTGTACGGATGCGTACACGCAAATGTGTAAAGTGCAATAATTTTTCTTGTAGCATCGAAGTGGTATACGTTATCGAGGTTTTTGTGATGTTTTGGAGCAGTACAAGATAAAATGGGGTACTTGTCTACAGTCTATGAATATATCATTTTTTGTTTTTCACAAAATGCTTATTCCACGTTCTTAATAAAAACCTATCTATGTATAATTTACGTAAATTATGCTTATAGATTCTATTGAACGATGTCAAATATCATATTTATGGTATGTAATAACTTTTATTATATTATTATTAAAATGAAAATTCATCATAAACTAATTATCTGTACTATATTTATTTATAGTAAATAATTAGCTTTGGAATAAAAGAACGTGTCAAAACATCGCAGTGAATTTTTGTGATATTAAGATATGATGGTTTGTTATCATATGATATGACGTTTAATTCCGTTTAATTCTAATGTATGAAACATAAGTAATGTAATTTATATCTAAAGTCAAACATGAATTTGTTTAGAAATTTTGTTCGGTAAATTACTAAAAACAGTATTGGATGATCCGGCTCAAAGGATCATTTTAAATACATGCGTCAAATAAATGTCTACCTATTCAAATTACATCACTGAATTTATTATAATTATCGTAAATTTTAAATGTATTATTGAAAATATTCCACCTATTTAGTCTTCCACGGAATAGAAACGATCATGGAATGTATTCAAACGTGACGCTAAGAAAAATACGCTCTATTTTGATCAACTTAAAATTGAAATACAAAGGGTCTCGTTGATCTTTGAGGAGAGATAGAGTTGAGATGTCATATGTTATGCAAGTCATTTAAGAATTTTCTTATTTTTGTGTCAAAGTTTTTACAAGGAACATAATGCTTTGGTAAAAACCGAAAAGTCTAAGTTAGAATGAAGTTTAATTAAAATTTTCGTTCTATTTTTATCTCTTATTTTTAATATAGATAACTCGAATTTCGTAATTAATTTCAAAAGTACAAATTATATTTTAGTCGCCATGAAATGTTATTTTGCGAAATGTTTTTTTGTTGCGTTGTGTTTTCGTTTTTTAGTTCATAAATTCAACCCTTATTTCTAATTACATTAGGTCTAATTTTGTATAGCACAAACGATTCGCATGATTTGAGTAAAAACGATGTAGTCGATGTTAGGTATTATCGCTTCTCACGTTTAAGATTTGTCCTAACTCTTAAGTCTATACAGAACCTAGTCTTAGGGCTTCGGTCCACTCTTTACTCTAAATGCGTTTAGGCTTCAAAATGAAACGCTTAAAGATCTCGCTTCAACTTGAACTTACCTTCTAAATAGTTTAATCGATAGATGTAGTTTATTTGAAATAGTAATATTTTATTCACTGAAACTGAAAAAATAAATTTTATAAAAAATATGACTAAGTTAATTAAATTAAACTTAAATAAAACACTTTAACGGTTTAAAACGCGTTATATGTGTATTGCTGCTGCAAAGCATCCGAAACATCGAGCCATAGTTAAAATAATTTTCAAATAAGTTTAACATACATATATCGCGTTTTAAATCGTTAAAGTGTTTTATTTAAATGTGTACTATTCGCGCTTTTTCTTAAAATCAGACAGCTCTCAGTCCGTAGATTTCCGAAAAAGCACTTCCGCTTCCGTTTAACTATAAGCATGTACGAACTAGCTATCTATCTAAAGCACATTTCTTGCGTCCGTAATAGTTCTTTTATAAGACACGATGGCGAGTGATGCGCAAACTGTTGTTACGAGGGCATTGCTTCGTGTAGAGATTTGTTTGGGGCCTTAAATAAAATCGGTGTTCTGGGAACGTCTAATCGGATTAAGTAATTATTACTGCCAACGGATTATTTAGTGGTTCAGGCGTCGCCCGGTTTCACTGATTGCTGTGATAATGTGCTGTGCTCTCAACGCGTTAACTGAATGTTAAATAGTACATTGTAACCGCTGTTTAGAGACGATTTCACCAATAATGGTAATGTTTAAGACACATCTTCAGTTTAACGCACTGTCAACTTTTGCCTTTGTCATTATTCGTTGGTGAAATTGGATCTTTGGCTGAATAGGGCCTATATATCTGTAAGTGATTACATGAAATTGTTCAATTGCATGGCCCTGTTTCCATTCGAATCGGTTACGTGATATTTTTATTGATTGTCGATTTATCTATTAGCTTTAAGGTTTATTACACACAATTCGCTATAGATCACGGTTAACGTCGAACACGAGATGTCCTTCTGTTCTGCAGATGTTAGGGTATTGTTGCTGTATATACAGTATTGTTTGTTGGAACACAAAAACATATTAATATTTCACACGAATTGAAGCGAAGAACAGGTCTCGACTTGATTCTAATACGCGATTCGTCAATAGGAATGTTAATTGATTTTTGTTCGTTGTTGCAATATCGTTTATCACCCTAAAATAACCTATATACTATATTTTGCGATTACGAATGCATAATTACCGTGTAATCGCTTTATGTACTAGTTTGTAGTGACCAATTTTATCTTTAGGAAATAAAAGAAATGTAAAATTGACAATTTTAATGTAATTTTTATATACAATAAATAGACATTTTATAAAAATGCGCTCCAATTTCATTCTCGAATCAAACGAATCGTTCATAAATCATATAACACTTATATTAAGGGTCCGGGGGAGGAACTAACATCGCTTAAAAACTCAAAATCCGATTAAGAACAAAACCTATTTACATGGTATATAACAAGCAATGTACAATTTATCTAAACTATTCTATTTAACAGTTGATTATAAAAGACTAAATGCGTTGACTGACTGGGCGTGTTGGGCTTCGTAGTACTGCTTGCATTCTTGGGCATTATGCTGCGTGAAGGCGCAGTCTGTATAATTCCATCCGTGCATCTCAACGTTGCCCTGGGAACAGTCCTGGCTATACCTATAGAAGCGCTGGTCTTCCATTTCAACTGGTGATTCCCTCGTATTATCGATCTGGTAGTATTGTGCCTCGTCTGGATAGAACTGCTGGTGGGGGTAAGGCTGCTGTTCGCAATATTCCATTTGCTGGTATCCGTTACTGAAGAGTTCTGGTGAGGAAGTTTCGCTTGACTCGGAGCCGCCGGCAGCCCGTTGCCATTCGAACCAATAAGAGTCTTCCGGTCTTGAGTTTTCGCTGTTCAGATCGGCGAAGGTCGGAGGTGATTCTAAGGTGTTCTCTTCCATTGGAAAATCTAATCTGATTGGTTGGTCTAACTGAAATATTTCTTCTGGGTGAAAGATGTCGTCTGCTGGTAAAGTACTAGGGTCGTATGATTGCGCTGGGGGTGGTGCAGAGACGGATGGCGTTACGTAGCTGTTGTAGGGTTGGTGTTCAGATTGTGTCCATGTTGATGACGTGAATGCTTCGTTGGTTTCGGGACGCCATCGGCAGGTGCATTCAAAAGGTCCGCACGTACATGTTAACCCTAGAACAAATTAAGAAAAGTAAGATACTTGTAATGATCAAGTCTAGATTTTTTATTAAATACTATTTATCATCTAGGTAAAATTGATCTACGTAAAAATAGATTTTAAATAGGTGTTTTATATATACTGCCGACTTGCCGCTGTAATGACTCTAATATGTACTAATATAATAAAGAGTTCGTTTATTTGTATGAACGCGCGAATCTCAGGAACTCAGTCCGAATAAAAAAAATGTTTTTTTCTTGCCTTTAAATTATCATGCTATTTGATGAATGATTCCTCTTTCCTCTCAAAAAAATCCGCGACAATATATGTATACTTATGTCTTTTAATATTAACCTGCAAAAACGACGCGGGCGTCGTCGTTGGTAACAGCTAGTGTATAGATATAGATAACATACCTCTTTGACTGTCCGGAATCAACGGAGGCGGTTGTAGGTGAATATTAGTCTTCTGTGGCATTTGCTTATCGGGCTTGACATTTAGTATTTTATCAGCAATTGCAGCTTCTCTCGCCAGTAAGAGCGCGAGACCACGAACTCGTCTCCCAGCGCCAAGTGTTCGTCGCACTTCGCTGGCTCCCTTGGCTTCTGGCTTTGGGTGATCGTGGGATCCTTTGGCTTGAAAGAAGATTGCGTGTTCCGTGTGCCTCCAGAAGTGAGTGACTGGGTAACCGCAGTGCCCTCGACACGGTTGCACTTCTAACCTACCGCCATTGCAGAGACGATTAGGACATGGTTTTCCTGGAGGACAAAATATGCTACTTGAAAATTTGAGGATTGAAAATTTAATGACTCACATACAATCGATAAAAAAATATCGATTTATAAGCTCTGTGTGTAATGCTCCTATGTGTATATTCCTAATGTACGTATTTAAAATAAAGAACCTAACAAACTAAGACCTTTAACTTAACTTTGAACTGGAATGAAAGCCACTTACTAATGTCTCCTCGTGACCACGGCTGCTGCAAAGTATCCGAAAAGTCGGGCCGTAGATAAAAATAATTTTCAAACAAGTTCAACTAAGATATATCGCGTTTTAAAGTGTTAGTTATTTAAATGTGTAACTCGCGTGAACTACACACAATATCCACTTACTAGTGGCTTTCTTTCCAGTTCGGAAAAATGTAACCTTCGACTTATAATACCTACCCATCTACGTTTATATCTACGTGTACGATAAGTTTGTAACCTAACAACTGAGTTACTTAACAATTGCCCTGTTTAGGTAAACGAATTTAAAAAAAATCATTGTTACATATTATGTAACTCGTTACGTAATCAAAAGAATTATTTTATGATGGAGACAACTATGAGATTCACTGATTAGTAGGTGAAATACCAAAGTTATATTATGGCCATCTAAAGATTTGTTGTCGACCTATTGTAGCTTTGGATAATCGGAAGTCCACAGACTTAAACCGAGACGCGATTAAATTTTTATCGGACGTCTAACATTTTTCAGAAAAATTATAAATTGCTTAGAAAAATGTTGGACCTGGTGAGGATCCGTGATTCGTTGATTATTAGCCATATTGCTACCATTACCAACAACCCTGTCTAAGCTGTGCAATAGTTTAAAAAAAAGGAAAACAAATGTATCCAAGTATATTAAGATCGCCGGCGCAAGCTACAAACTTATGGATATGTACATTTAGAGACAGTCTTACCTTGTTGCTTTTTTCTAGCCTTATCACAGATGGCTGGCCGTAAGTGGACCCTGGATCCGTCCGGAAGACGACATCTCGTGGAACAAACTAATACACCTAAGCAGCTTTTCTTCAGGATGTGCACGTTGTGGTTATTCGTGTTCCTCATGGCCCAGCCGGAGGCGTGTCTCCGTGCCTCCTCGCAGCCGGGAGGGTAGACCCTGCGGACGTGGCCGTCACACCATTCACCAAATGTATCGAAATGTGTCACCCTGGGTACGACAGCATCGTTGATGTCCCATTCTGGCGTGGCGTGTCCCTCTGACATTTCTGCACTCCTGGTTCTGAAAAATTTGGCTTATTAGTTGACTGCGAGTGTGAGGAGGACTATTGCATCTAAACAAAATGCGTTGTTGAGCTATTTTGGCTTTGGATAAATAATTAATAAATAAACATATGCTATCAAACTATTCTAGGTATCATTTGAAGATTGAAAATATTTGAGGTATTTTAGGTCTGTTTTACGTTCCACCGGCGTTATTGAAATTGGGTACCTACCATGTAATTTAAGACTTTCCATTAAGAATGATTAAAACACAAGTTCCCCCTAGGTTGAAGTTATGTTACTTAATACTACTTTAGAATATATGTAGTAAGTATGTACTTTTTTGGAAATAAGTAAATATGTATATAGATCCACTAGTTCTTAGTTTTTTAATTATTTTTCTTTTTTTGTAGGTATGGTCAAAGATTCATAAATTAGGTACTGTTACACCGTTACAATTCGTAAATAAAGCTCCCCTTATAATATCTTGTTAAGCCAATTAAAGCTTTACGGAGGGCGGGGACTAATTTAATCCTCAAAGTTTACAACGAGCAATTTTCTTTATTCTCTTAAGTTACCCTTCATAACCATAATATTTACTATTTTTGGCTTTTTAACGTTAATAAATTTTTATAAATGGATATATTAACAAAAGTACATATACCCATAATCAATAACTAAATAGTACTTAGAAGACATACTTAGAAGTTGTATCAGCAATTTATGTACGTAAATTAAATTAACATAAGTATATGACAGGTTAAAACGCCAAGTTTTTATAGAAGACATTAAATAACTTATATATACCTAGTAAAGAAGTTAAAAGTGTTTAAAACATTTAAGTAACGCTTTAAAACAGTAATATTTATTATTTTAAATTGCATGGCATTGTAAAATAATAAAAAAATAAAAAAAGTCTCGCCTATTTTGTTATTAGTTAAGATGATTATTTAAACTACAATAGACTTTATGTGTTAGTATTAAACATATAAAAACATACCTAATTAACGGTTTTTTTGGGATTTTAATTAATACTTTAAGAAAGTTCTGTAATAAATAATTTTAAGGCACATCGTTTGTAATATTTACACGATGGAAAGGAGGAAGCTTAAGTTCTTTATCAAAGGGGATCCTTTGTATTGTCAATGAGTTTCAATTAAAAGCAATTGGCGTCCCCCAACACCTTCCACCAGCAACCCCAGCGTCGCTATGTTCGCTTAGTCATGGTATTTAACTTGACGGCACTTAATAACAATTTTCGTAAACTCTACATTAAGTACTGCTATCTTAACAAACCGGGGAAGTTAAACAAATCTACCTCTTTTTCACTATATTAAGTATTTTGTAAAAGAATCCTTTTTAATAGACACAGAAATGGCATAGGGGTGATTTAATTAATAATTCCTATTATTGTACCACATTGTAACGTAAGGATTACAAACGATTGTTTTTATTAACAACAAATTCAAGAGTTTACACAAATCGCCTATTAAAAATGTTTACTTACAAAAACTTTTTAAATCGTTCCTTATTTTGTTTAAATATGAATATTTAAATAAAACACTAACGGTTTAAAATGCAAAATATATTAGTTAAATTATTTTTAATTTAATTCAATTTATGTCGTCCCGTGAGGACGACTTCTGCATAGCATCCGAGACGTCGGTCCGTATTTATTTTAAACTGAAAAATAACCGTCAAAGGGCTTTATTCGTCTGTGTACTACTTACGTTAACTTGAGAATTTATATCTTCATATTAACCTAACTAAATTTCTCGACATTTAATACCCAATATTTATTTTATTTCAGACATGAGACGAAGCTGCCTAATTAAAGCTAATGTAGATTTCGAAGTTTAGACATGTCTTACTGTAAACCTAGTTCATAATAATCTCTAAAATATCACTTCATTTTGTAATTTCTTGAATTTTTGGTGGTGAGTTATCGTTTTCTAAATAAAATGTATAAAGTTGTATGATTATACATCATTAGGTACCTCAATCTATCTACTAACAAATTACAACACTGATAAGTATGTATGTTTTACGATATAGACTTTGAGTAGACACATACAAAGCCTCCCAATAATTGCCCTTATAAAGACAGAGGAGTAAAAAGTATTTATTTATAACAATTAATGATATAGGAAAACATAAAGACAATCCAACAATATATTTTGGTACCTACTACTTATATGGACGCATAATAAACCATATCTAAGTGATCTTTAATGAATAACACAAAATACTTACAAGATAACCATCTCCAAAAATATAGCAACAGGTAAATAAACACTTTGTCCTTTAAAGAAATAGCACAGTCCACACACAACACAACTATTTTCTCGAGTTCTCCAAACGTAATCAAACACACCCAACACGTTGAAAGCTCATACCTCACTGACTTCAACAACAAAAATAAACATAGGGATGATTGTCCCCACTGTCGTTTGCAGGGTTAGCTCTGTCAACCAACCGAAGGCCAGCAATTTGTACGCCCCGCCCCGCGTCCAATGGCATATCGTTTCACGCTACAATGAACCGACCAATCGCGGAACGTTCGGGCTTTCAGGAAAAGCCAGTGTTGGGAAATTTCAGTGATACATCGCCTAGTTACATACTTATCAATAGTATTGATTTTAGTTAACAGTGCGTTCTAAAAAGAGGAATTTTCGTTGGTAATTTCAATTGTTTGTGAACGATTTTAAATTTCACTCTGTTCATATTGCTTTTATGATAGAGGTGAAAACTATAAATGGTCCTTCGTGATGTAAGGGAAAATGTTTTGGATAAGGTAATTAAGATGCGTTGACATCCGGAAATGCACAGATTGAGACCGATACATGACTTCACACTTTGCAGCTTTGCCATATGTTGACGCGGGTCTGTGACCGGACAGACTTCCTGTATTTCCGCCAAATATCCAATGTCCAGTACATCCAGGCAGGGCTTGATATGGTTCAGTAAATTAAATGTTGCACGGAACGCTGTGAATACCGGGTTAAGTCCTGCCCGTGTCATTTTTAAACATGTCGAAGTAGAATGTTAGTGCACACTGCTATTATTGGACAAACAAGCATCAAAGTCTCATTTATCGCAATGCCAAATATAAGATAAGTGATATTCAAAACTGCGATACTTCTAATTACACTAAAACAGTACCTACACAGTTCCATCAAGAACAAGGCATTGTACACAGCTTACGCATTCGAGTCTCTGCTATAGATTATCGCAATAACGTCACATTATACAGGGTGTCTTTGTTAGTTGTTACATTTAAAACGTTTTATACAGTATGCATTATAAAACGTTCGTAGCTTTCATTTAAGTGCTATTAAGTACACCATTCGTAGATGCAGAAAGTTGATTGAAAGAGGGCAAAATATGCGGGTTGCACATTCGCTAGTGGGGCCTATGTGTGCGTGTGAATTCTATTTAAAACCTAATTCTATAGCTTTGTTCCTACAAAGTACGTTACATCTATAGGTCGGCCTGTGTTGGGGCCACAGAATATCAGACGGGCGCGTTGGTGTACTTCATGGTAGCAATATATTATGGCTAATAGTAAATGGATCGTGGGTTTACCACCGGGTCTAACATGTTCCAAGTTAAATTATAATCTTTCTGTTACGCGTTGGACGTCCGGAAATCTGGGTATTAAATGGATGGTAGGAATATCGTCAATAGATGAAGTTTAATCGTGTTTCGGATTCAGTCTGTGGATTTTCGAATATCCTAAGCTAAAATAGAGTTTAGACGTTATATCGTTCAATTGCACTGCATAGCATCGCGTTATTTGGAAGGTTCAGGGTTCAAATGCAGTGAAAACATGCCAAAAAGGTCAACTACTTGCTAAAACATATTGGTCCCATGCCCCACTGATGGGAAAAGGCTTTCAGACCTTTTTATTAAAAATGATTAATGTAGGTATACGGGTTTCATGTAGAAGTCTGTAAAACTTTAGTACCTATCTACATTTATTGTAAATAAAACAATTTTAACCGTTTAAAACGCGCTATATATGTTTTGCATTGCGTCCCATCTGACCCTAGTTGCTGCAAAGCGTAGCGTCGGGCCGTAGGTTAAAAAAAATAAAAATAAACTCACTTTGTAATATATTTCGCGTTTTATTTATCTAAATATGTAGGTACTAGGTACTCGCGTAAACAACAGACTATCATTATTTCTACCAATACAAAGTTTGTAAATTACTAGTTAATAATAATTAGTAGTATGTAATAATAATAATTTTGTATATTCCAGACATTTGGCACTGTTAGTATTTATTTTGAAATCAATAATCTCCTTAACACGTCGGTGTTATAAAGTTATTTGTAAACCGTAAAAGGATTACGGATTACAAATACCAGGGACCTATCAATTTGACGAAAGTTAAAATACAGTAGTAATCTGTCTATTGTACTGACGTCCTGTCTAGGGTTGGAAATTTATCCTTAAACCGTGAACAGTCAGCTTCCGCTGGATTACGTGGATATTTGGAGACAGGAGGTAGAAAACTTAATCAGATTTGTGCGTCTTGGATACAAATAGTTAATTCAATTAGAATAATTAATACATTTGACGTTTGCCGCTCTTGGCTCCAGCTTAAAATCCCGTTTTTCCGTTAGTCCCGATTTTTCAAACGAAGAAAATGCTTAGAAAATATAAGTATGTTATACAAATTATACCCATTCATTAGCTTATACAATACAACATACGATATTGTGACATTGTTGTCAATGCTTGGTAGATTTCGTTGTCGGATGTCCCCATGTAATGGCGGATTTCGTTATAAGTCTGTGGATTTCTGAATCAGTCAGAGTCTGGCTATGGCTGGTATATTACTGACCATCAAGTGGATCCTTGTCTGTCTTTTATCATATAAAAGAGCTGTATATATTATGAATCAATTTATTTAATTACCTAACCAGGTTATATACCTATACCTAAGTAGGTTAAATAACTTTACAACACACCATAAAAACAAAGGACTACTGTGTGGG